AAAACCAACAGAAAACAGTATCTCAGACGTAAGCAACATATCACTGCTGTCGGAACAAAACCTCGTATCTCCCAAATGGTAACTTTACAGGAGAAGGAAAAAACATACTTTACTTTTAATGTAAGTCAATGGAACCAGACATTTGGGCCGTTTCTTTTGGTCCATTCATCATGAAATTTACACAAAATGGAGATACAAGGTTTTCTCCCGACAGCAACGATATAACAGCTGTGTAATAAGTTTCCATGAGGGAGCTTTTAAATTAAATTCACCATTACTTTTTAACTTTACCTTTAACGGTTTTGAAATCCACTTTTACACTCTCAGAAATAAGGCTACTAAACTGTCACTGGGGCAGTGCCCCTCTTGTCACTGGGGCAGTGCCCCTCTTGTCACTGGGGTGGAACCCTCAAGGGTACATCTCAGTACCTTTAGTCAGGGAACATAACTGAACCATAATCCACTGAAATGATATGTTCTAAGCTGTACTGACTCCACACACCCCGTCTCGTCTCCAGGCTTTTATTTTACTGTTCTGTTTAAAAACATTCGGTTATGAAAAGGTACAAATACGAACTTTTCACCTGGAAAAACTTATTTAAGGTTCACAATCAGACCTTAAAACCACTGTTGAACCTTTGAGGGAACATTTACACTGTTTGTACCTTGATGAACAAAAAATGTACCTGAACAGAACCTTTATTTCTAACAGTGTAACAGTTTTGAAATTTGCATTTAAATTCACCTTTAACATTTTAACCAAATTACTTTGTCGTTCACACTTATCTGGTTTATATCGAGAACTTAAGTGAACTGTACAGAAGGTTTTACCCTGAAATTAAAGCTAATATTTAAATCACAAACTTGTCAAGTTGCTCAGCTTTAATTTCAGTGTAAAACCATTTCGTGATGCAAAGAACTCTTTATTCATGCAAAGTGTTCTTTGGATCATGAAATGGATCTTCAGATTGATGGAGAAAGTGCTGTAGATGGTTCTATGTAGAACCTTTTTGAAAAGGGTTCTATATAGCACCCCAAAGGGTTCTTCTGTTTTTACAAACTTGACAACGTAACAATAGAAGAACACTTTTGGCTGCTATATAGAACCCTTTTCAAAAAGGTTCTATATAGAACCATCTACAGCACATTTTGAAGAACACTTCAATCATGCAAAGGGTTCTTTGAGTGTTCATGGTTCTATATAGAACCATTTCCCTTAAAGAACCAACCTTTTTAAGAGTGTATAAGATTGAAAAGCTGTAGAACGATGTTTTTTCTCTCATTTCACTCCAGATATCAGATTTCATATTAATTTCATTTCATATTTTGAATTTACATTGAACAGCAAACCCAAAGGAGATCATCTCTAAGTCCTTTTCGCCCATGCTGTGTCCCTCCACATGAAAAGAGGTCAAAAAGCTTTGTGTCTTATTGACGTTTGACTTCTTTTTAAAATCTAATGTTGTGGACTTCACCTGTCTGGAAGCATCTGCTCTCCTTATGTTTGTCCACTCGTTTTTCCTCCGATTTGTCATCCGTCTGTGTTGACAGTGGTGTGAAAAAGTCTTAGGTACCTTAAAACTATTTATCTGGGCCAGGGGTCGGCAACATGAGGCTCCGGAGCCACATGTGGCTCTTTTACTGCCCTGTTGTGGCTCCACAGCAGAATCAGATTTGTAGGTAAAAATAAAATAATCCTCCTTTACAGTAAAATAAAGCTCTGCTGATCGTTCAACACAGTTTAACAATAAATGGTCTTAAACGCTGGAGTTAATGTAGAACTGCTAATTCACCCTTTAACCCTGAAGGTTGGTGCACAGACTGCTGGTCACCATAGCAACTCAGACAACAATCTCGCCTAGCTAGTAGCTAATGAAACGGCAAAGAGAGAGATTGAAGATGAATAGTTTAGATGAATTATTAGCATTTATAATCACTCAGCTGGTTTCCTGATACGTTTAAGCCGCCAGATTCTTGTTCGAATTTTCCTGTTCTACCTTAAAAGCTGCAGCAGTTATATTCTGGCACCTCAGGCACATTTAAGGTGGAACAGAAAATTCGAACAAGAAGCTGACGAATGAGGAGCTGACTTCAGCCTCAAAACATTGAGAGAAAAGAATTCACAAGAAACTGTTCTACTTTCACAGAAAAGTTTCCTGCCAGAGATGTGAGAAAAGTGGCTATAGCTGAGCTAAAGCTTAAAGCAGAGCAAAGTGAGTTTGTTTATATTATATTTTTTAGCCTATACTAGTACATCAGCACATACTGAGACATATTTACAGCCATGATGGTAAAATGGATTTAAAATGTTGTGGCTCCCAAAGTGGCTTGATTTTTGCTGAAAGGACAAAATGTCTCTTCTTAACATTTGGGTTGCAACCCCTGGTCTGGGCAATGGGTGTGTTTTTGCTTGTAAAAATCACCATATATGTTGGAAACACAGCAAAAAGTAATAAGTCTTTCTTATTTCTTATTTTTCAAAAGTAACTGAGATGTTGGTTCCAGATACCAACATGGTGGAGAACTGAGGTGAGGAACTGGTTCAACGAACACATTGACATAAATAAAAGCACTTATAGTATTAATGTTATTTGTATTTATTGTAATATTAATGTTTTTCAGAGCAAATAAATACTTAGTGCAGCTTTTCAAATGTCATTTTCTCAGGTGCCTCAAACTTCTGCAGATTAGATGAGATCAGATTAGATTTGTAACACACAAATAATATTAACACACCGCAGAAGCGAACCTGACAGCAGAACCGTCTCACCTCACTCCACCCGTCGCCCCGCAGGTGTTTATGGACTTACGTCAGTAAAGTCATGCGGAGTGTGATAACAGTTGCAATGCACTGTGGGGCTGATTTTTCCTGGATGCTGTCCAACTGACTCACACTTTGCAAAATCTGAAAGAAAAGTAGGTCACAGAGGTTTTTATAGTGTTTTCAAAAAACACAAACAAGCACCTGATTTTCTGACTGTACTCACTGAGTTTAATGAGCGTTATGACACCGTGAGCTTTTGCCTTATGATGTTTATCTTGAAAGCAGAGAACAGTAAATGTTAATTTATTCTGAATGCAAACTAAGAATTGTAATTAATATATTTATGTATTTCACACCAGAACAGCAACAATGGCAGTGAGGTGCAGAAGGAAGGACATGCACTACATTGCCAAAGCATGTGGGCACCTGAACATCATATCTGCATGTTTGCTGAACATCTCATTCCAAAAATATCCTCTGGGAAGGCTTTACACTAGATGTTGGAACATGGCTGTGGGAATCACTTCAGTCACAACAGCGTTAGTGAGGTCCTGAGCAGGTGCTGAGTATTGATAATCTTCTGGTCGCTCCTCTGAACCTGTCAGTCTACTCTAATGAGTGCAGAATACAGTCCCATTACAGAGAATATAGAAGATAGACCAGTTAAACAGTTTGGCCCAGTCCCATTTCACCCCTCACCCCTACCACTCAGCCCTTAGCCCCTTAGTTCACACCTAAGGGGTAGGGTGTTCTGATTTCTGTTGAGATAGAGGGGAAGAGTGAAGTGTTAGGGCTACATGGCCCTCCAAACGGAGGTTTTTCAGAGACTCCAAACAGAGTGATATAAGAAAAAACGAAAAACTGGCAAGATGGCTGAAAAAGAGACCAAAGAAACCCACAAATATGAGAATTTTCCCCATTAATTTAATGATGTTTCAGTGTATTATGGTCCTTTTCTTCATAAAAAGTATTTAAAATCGCTAATAGTATAATAATGTCTCGGTAGCCAGCTGGCGAAATTTCCCGTTCCACCTTAAATAGTCCAGCAGTTCTGACACCTGAGGTGCCAGAATGTAACTGCAGCTCCATAAAGGTGGAACAGGAAAATTCTAACAAAAAGCTGGTGAATATCTGACTTCAGCTTCACACCACTGAAGAATTAGTGGTGGGTGATAATAAATAATTGCCCCCCTCTTTGAAGGCATATGATTCCCTAAATGTAACTAAAGCCCAGCAGTGAGGAGCTGAACTTTACCCTCCTCTGCTGTCACTGCAGACTGGCAGGGTCGCCTACAGAGCAGCGCTGGTAGCTGTTAATGAAGTAATGCTCTTTTTATTTGAGGGTCCCATTTCAGAGGGAAGATTTCAACCACTACCCTGTAACTCAGTTCCAAGGGTCAAGGAGACACTCGAACAGGGGTAGAGATAAATGGGATTGAGCCTTTGTTTACAGTTAGCAGCAATGCAGCCACTCCTCTCATATAAAGTATATTATATATATACACACACACACACACACACACACACATAATCTAAACCGCTTATCCTTCTGGGTCGTGGTGGGGTGCTGGAGCCTATCCCAGCTGTCATTGGGCGGTAGGCAGGATACACCCTGGACAGGTATATATATATATATATATATATATATATATATATATGTATATATGTATATATAAGCTTATGCAATATAATAGGCAGGATTGTACATTTTATCATGATTATATGAGGGATAGACCTGGAACTTATACTATTACAGTGAAAGTTAAAACAAAACTATGTAGTTTCAGGCATTAATAAAGGCAAACGTTACAGTAGAAAGGGGCTTGTCTGGTCAAATTCTTGACCATTCAGCGAAGAACCACCCATGTGGTGCACTTTAGCCGTTACAAAGTCCCGCGCCAAAGATGTGGGCAGGCCTATCTTGCTACTAATCAAAGGCCCAATCTCACTTTGCTGCCTACTCCCTATATAGTGCGCTATGTAAGTTATGACACTCTGGCTTCTACACTCAGAGTCCACTATCAGTCCAGTATGGAATTGCACACGTGTGGCTGAATCCCAGGTGGATGTCTGTTAGACACATCATGCGCCGTTCAGGTCCAGGAGGCAGTATTCCAATTCACACATAGTGCCCTACGTAGGGAGCAGGGAGCCATTTGAGATTCGGCCGAAGTGTAATTTGCCATCCGCCCCGCAAGGCGGCCTGTGTGCACTCCGTCTTCTGCTTCAGCAAAGATTGTGTTTGGCGTCAGCGAGAGACCTTCGGCTTCTCGGCTTAGTTCGGGCTCAGACTCGGCGCGCCGAGCGGTTCTGTCACAGCAAGGCGACCACCGGACAGACAGCTTCACCCCACCGGGCGGAGAGGAGCCCCGCGGTGAGGAGAAGGTGGAGAAACGCAGGGTATGAGTCGCCGCAGCTCGGCTGTAGGTACTGACAGACACTCCATACAGACAGCGTTAACGGAGCTAATCTCGTCTAAGCCCATTAGAGTCGCTAAATTGGCTCAGCTTCTTCGAATTTCCCCGTTCCACCTTAAACAGCACGGCAGTTACATTCTGGCGCCTCAGAGTAAGTGCTGCACCATTTAAGTTGGAACAGGAAAATCCCACCTTAAATGGTGCTTTTAAAAAAAATCCCCGTTCCACCTTAAATTGTGCAATAGCGAGTGTTGTAGTTACCATTTAAGGTGGAACGGGAACATTCCGCCTTAAATGTTGCTTTTAAAATCTTCGCGTTCCGCGGTAACTGCTGCGCCATTTAAGGTGGAACGGGAAAATGTACCTTTAAAAATGTGCTTTTAAAATTTAACTGCACCGTTTAAGGTGGAATTTCCCGTTCCACCTTAAACGGTGCAGCGGCAACTATTGTATCAGTTAAGATGGAACAAGAAAATTCCACCTTAAATGGTGTTTTTAAAATCTTCGTTCCCCCTTAAATGATGCAGTGGTAACTGTTGAACTATTTAAGGTGGAACGGGAAAATTACCCCTTAAATAGTGCTTTTAAATTTTTTACCATTCCACCTTAAATGGTACAGCAGAAACTGAGGAAAATTTAATCTTAATGGTGCTTTTAAAATCTTCCCGTTCCACCTTAAACTGTGCTGCAGCGACTGTTATACCATTTAAGGTGGAACAGGAAAATTTTACCTCAAATAGTGCTTTTAAAGTCTTCCCGTTCCACCTTAAATGGTGCAGTGGTAACTTATTGTATCAGTTAAGGTGGAATTGGAGAATTTCCCCTTACATAGTGCTTTTAATTTTTTTCCCGTTCCACCTTCAATGATACAACAGTAACTGTGGAACGGAAAAATTTCACCTTAAATAGTGCTTTTAAAGTCTTCCAGTTCCACCTTAAATGGTGCAGTGGCAACTGTTGTATCAGTTAAGGTGGAATGGGTCAATTCCACCTTAAATATTGCTTTTAAAATCTTCCCGTTCCACCTTAAATGGTGCAGCAGTTACATCCTTGTGTCTCAGAATGTAACTTCTGCACCATTTAAGGTGGAACGGGAAAATTCAAACGAAGCAGGCGGATAGGAAGCCGACTTCAGCCTCGTCTTCTGCCCGTTTATAACGTGACTGTCTCCTTCTGGAGTTCGCTGGCAGGTGAGCAGCAGGTCTTACAGGTGTGCTGTATCTCTGTGCCGTGTGTCTGTGCAGGGTGGGCTGGAGGGCGGGATGACGATGATGATGGGGAGGGAGTGGTGGCTGCACGTGGCGCTGCTGTGCATTCCCCTTCTGGCCGTCTACCTGCACATCCCTCAGCCTCAGCTCTCCCCAGCCCTGCACACCTGGCGCTCCTCGGGACGCGTCTTCAGCTTCCGAGGGAACGACATCTTCTACAAAGGTGAGCTGGCTTTATAGGAGTACTCAGACCCTTCACTCAAAGGGGAATCCCACCACTATTTCAAAATTTCTGAGAAATTCAGTCATTGAGAGTCGTTCAGAGCGTTTTGGTGTGAAATGATTGACTGTAGACTCAAATTTCTTTACAGTGGTGGTGACAGAAACCAGGCGTTGCCATGACTACAACAAAAATATAGACGTGAAGTAGAAGTCCGACTTTGATCTGAGATCACTTCCAACTATATTATCTACAGTTAGTCTATTATCTGGTACGCTCTTAAAAAAGGACGGTACTTCAAGGGTTCTTTAGTAAAGAAAACGGTTCTATACAGAACCGTGAACACTCAAAGAACTCCTTGCATGATTAAACAGTTCTTTGCATCAAGAAAGCGCTGTGTAGCTTCAGATTGATGGAAAATTTGCATGAATGTGCTAAAGAGGGTTCTATAGAGAACCTTTTTGAAAAGAGTTTGACTTCGTAACAATAGAAGAACACTTTTGGGTGCTATAGAGAACCATCTACAGCACATTTTCCATCAGTCTGAAGACCCTTTTCATGATACAAAGAACTCCTTAATCATGCAAAGGGTTCTTTGAGTGTTCATGGTTCTATATGGAACCATTTTCTTTACTGAAGAACCCTTAAAGCACCATAGGATATGGACTGCAAAAGTGTATTGTGGAATCAAAACAAAAGTGTGCATGTTTGTTGTGTGTTCAAATGAGACTGCACCAACACTGCTAAAGGGGAATTCCACCAATTTTTCAAAAGTCGTTCATAGTTGTTTGATGTGAAATGTTTCATTGTAGAGAAACTTACCGGCTTCTTCACGGTGGTGGTGATAGGAACCAGGTGTCACCATGACTACAACACAATTATAGCCATTTTATTTACTATCCAAAACCACCAGTGAACCTACACGAGTCTTCTGAGTTTATATGGAACGTTGATCATGATAAAATAGTGATAAATGAAGTGATTAAAAAATATGTTTTCGGCTCCCGAGTGGCGCAACCGTCTAAGCGTTGACCCTATCATCAGATCGTGAGTTCGATCCCTGGTGATGCTACAGCCGTCCGTAGCCGGGAGTCCGAGAGAGCACAATTGGCCTCGCTCTCTCTGGGTGGGTGGGATGGTCCCTCCTTCTCCCCCCATCACTCAGCGCGATGCCAGTCAGCGCAGGCGTCTGTTAGCTGACGTAACAGATCTGGCGGTTGGCGCTTTCCTCCGAGCGCGTTCGGCTGTCCAGTGACGTTGTGTGAGTGGCAGTTCGAAAAGAAGCGGTGGTTGGCTTCACAGGTCTCGGAGGAAGCCTGTGTTAGCCTTCGCCCTCCTAGCGTTGATAGCATCGCGTGATTGGGGGAGTCCTAACTAGCGGGTGGAATTGGAGACGACTAAATTGGGGAGAAAATCGGGGTAAAAATTAAAAAAATATATATGTATGTTTTGCCTTTTGCCTTACATCCTGCTATTAATATATTTTAAAAAAGGATTTTAGACCGAAATCTTCTCAAAGCTCTCGGGAAAACAGTGTCTTAGGCATCACGCAGTGAATTCATAACCATTTCATGTAGTAACTTTCTGTGAGGGAGCTTTTAGAGGTGGACGTCTGGTTCCTATCACCACCACTGTGAACAGTTCTGACTCTGTAAGTTTCTCTAGGACAGAGCGTTTCACACCAAACCACTCTGAACGACTCTGTTTACATTTTAACCATTTGGTTATGCAGTAAACATCAAAACATGCTTAAAGGGGAATTCCAGGGGAATTCAACAGTGTGGTTTGATATGAAATGGTTCATTTGTAGGGAAACTTACAGACTCAGATTTCTTTACAGTGGTGGTGATAGGAACCAGGGGTCACCATGTCTACAAATATAGACATTTTATTTATAATCGGAAACCAAAAGTGAACCCACATCTGTCTTCTCAGTTTTTATATGTGATGTTGAGAATGGTACAGTAATTTTACCTTACAGTACCAACATGTAGCTCCCCACCATGAATATGCTTCACCACAGTGGTCATCAACCTCCTCCTGGAGATCAGCCTTCCTGTAGAGTTTAGTTCCAGCCTGCATCTAATAAGCTGCCCCACCCCCTTACTTAACACTAATGCATCTGATCCAGCCAATCAGGGAAGGGAATTAGGAAGAGGTTAATTAGCTGGAGCAGGTACAGCAGATTAAGGTTGGATCTAGACTCTGTAGTAAGGTAGATCTCCAGGAACAAGGTTGGGGATTGCTGCTCTACAGAATGTCGCTGCTGTCGGAACAAAACCTCGTATCTCCATTTTTGTTGTTTTTCAGTTTTTGGCATATTTTGAAAATGCCTGTTGCTCTTTACATTGTGTGTAAATTTCATGATGAATGGACCAAAAGAAACGGCGAGAATTACTTGGAGAAAAAGTCTGGTTCCATTGACTTACATTAAAAGTGAAGTATGTTTTTTCCTTCTTTTGGAGATAAGAGGTTTTGTTCTGACAGATATGTTTGAAGCCAACAGTTCATCTCAAACTATTGGGAAACAATGTGTCAGAAAATAGGCCGTGTATTCATAACCATTTCATGTAATAACTTTCTGTGAGGCATTAAACTCTTCAGACGTCTGGTTCCTATCACCATCACTGTGAATGATTCTGACTCAGCATCAGACCTCTCAGAATGACTTTGTTGACATCTTAACAAATAAATGATATGGAAATTTTGAAGGGTCAGAAATAAATTTTGAATGGAAAAACTTTTGAAAATTTGTTGGTATGAAGGGGAATTCTTCTGTGTTATGCTCCAGAATTATTGTGAGTCAGTTATCTATAAAAATAAATAAATAAATAAAAGACACAGCTTTTCACTCAGGCTAACTGGTGGTATCTGATTCTCTTGTGCTAACAGACTAAAATGTTCAGTAGCTCAAAGGAAAGTGTAGAAGCACACAGGAGCATGTTTTAAAATGTTTTGTTATTCAGTAATAAGTTTCCTGTACACAGCGTTTGAGAACTGACAAAGTATGAATTAGGGCCAATTTAAAACCCAAAAAATGATTCTGGAAACAGTGTTTGCATTAAACAAACCAGTGAAATCTTTAAATAAAGGGGCAGGCTTTCATGTGTACTGTGTCAGAGGTTTTAGTGACAAACGCTGACCATTTAGATGAGCTAGTCAGGAGCTACATCAGATGCTGAGGAGGACTCATTGTCTTCAACATGAGATCCTCCAGCAAACGTTTATTAAACAGTACAAATAATGATGCGTACAGTTCAATCTCTGAAGCTGGTTATCAATAAAGTAAGGAAAGCTAACTTAGCTAGATAATTGTTTTGCAGATAAAGTTTATCATACCTTACTGCAAATAAGTCTGCTAATAGTTTAGTCATTGAGCTGTGAGTTTATTCTTCCACTTAATCCAAAACCTTTTCAGCTTCAGGAACGAAATAAAAACAGCTCCACTCTCCAGGTGATCAGGACAGTGCGAGTCAGGCATTACATGTTCCTCAGTAACACCTTTCTACAATTTCTTCCTCTAATTAGAGCTGGGCGACGTGGCAAAAATGCTATATCACGACACTTGGAGAAGTTTTCATCATACACGTCCCAATATTTATTTTTTCTTACATCTGACGAGTGGAACAGACAAAGTAGTGCCAAATTAAAAAAAAAAAACTGAATACAATCATTTTTATTCAACATTATACATACTGTGCTGCAATAGTTTAGTTAAACAGGACTAATTCTGCTCTCTTTTCAATCAAACGGCAGATTCGTTTGGTGCTGTGGGGAGCTCTGATGTGGTGGTCCTCCTTCATGGTTTTCCCACCTCAAGCTATGATTGGCACAAGGTAAGCAGATTTGGAGCTAATTTTAGTAGTTAGGAAGTGCCAGTGTTTCAGACAAGTGTTGAAAATGACACTGTATAATCCTTCCAATAACATCTGTCTTCTCTGATAACATCCAGATGTGCGCAGTGTTTTAAATAGACATTTAGACAGGTTCACTGTGAAACCTGTGTGTAACTTCACCAATGTGTAACATTTATTTGTAGGATTTGTAGATTATATGGTAGACCCTGTTTACTCCTGGCGTTACTCTGCCTCCTGGGTGGTCCGATCTGGAGTGGTACATGCTAAGTACAGGTGTGAAAGGGGTCCAGTGTGTCTCTGAGATGCACTGATCACTTAAACCACCTTCAGAGATAATCGAGGACACACATGACAACATAACATTGTAATATGAATGCTAAAGAGTCTCAACGCGTCCACCTCAATCAGCTGCGTCATCACAGCAGAGATGAAAGCGGCTGCGATGGTAATTTTTGCTCTTCTCTCCTGTTTGGAGGACTGCACTGGAGACGCATTGGAGAGCCATGGAAATGCCAGGTGTAAATGGCTAAGCATCTCACTGTCCACTTTTGGTCAGATGACTTGAGACAGATGTCATTGCAGAGTGTGACCAGGGCCTTAGATTGACGTTTCAGAGCAGGAACATTAAATGTGTTTTAATATTCATTAGATGGTAATTTTTGACATAATCTTTGTCTTTTATGTTGGTTTATAATAATGAAAACAATGTCTTCACTTGTTTCGTAGATCTGGGAGCCACTGAATCAGCGCTTTAACAGAGTCATTGCACTTGACTTCCTTGGCTTTGGCTTCTCTGATAAGCCTGTAAGCTTGTTACCGTCACTATTACACTATTAGCAGTGAGGATAATAACACTACTGTTTAATTTACTGTTCATCCATGATCAAGAAGTCACTTTCTCCATAATGCAAAAAATTTGGGATGCTGTGTAGAATGTAAATAAAAATAGAATGCAATGATGTGCAAATCAGGTAAACCATATTTTTGAAGGAAAATAGTATAAAGACAACAAGTCAAATGTTGAAACTGAAAAAAAAATGTTTTTTTGAAAAATATGTGCCCATTTTGAATTTGATGCCAACAACACATTCCAAAAAAGTTGGGACCGGGGCCTGTTTACCACTGTGTTTCATCACCTCTTCTTTAAACAACACACTGCTGTAGTTTTGAAAGTGAAATGCTTTCTCATAATTGGTTGATACAGGATTTCAGCTGGTCAACATTTCAGGCTCTCCTTTGTTTTATTTTTCATTTCGTAATGGGCCAAATGCTTAAAGTGGTGACCGGTCTGGACTGCAGGCAGGCCAGTTTAGCACCCAGACTCTTTTACTATGGAGCAATGCTGTTGTAATACATGCAGAATGTGGTTTGACAGTGTCTTGCTGAAATAATCAAGACCTTCCCTGAAAAAGACGTCGTCTGGATGGCAGCATATGTTGCCAAAACATGTATATATCATTCAGCATCAATGGTGCCTTCACAGATGTGCACGTCGCCCATGCCTTTAGCCCAGGGGACACAGTGTCCATGATTTCCAAAAAAACTTTCAAATGTTGATTCATCAGACCACAGGACACTTTTCCACTTCCCCTCAGTCCATTTTAAATGAGCTTGGGCCCAGAGAAGGTGGCAGCATTTCTGGATTCTGTTTATATATGATTTCTTCTTTGCATTTTAGAGTTTTAACTTGTATTTGTGGATGCAGTGATGAACTGTTTTCACAGACAGTGTTTTTCAGAAGTGTCTCTAAACCCATGCCGTGATTTCCTCTGCAGAATCATGTCTGTTTATAATGCAGTGCCACCTGAGGCCCAAAGATCACGGCCAGCAAATACTGGTTTTTGGCCTTGTCCCTTACATACAGAGATTTCTCCAGATTCTCTGGATCTTTTAATGTTATTATGTACCGTAGATGATGAAAAGCAAAAGTTCTTTGCTATTTTATGTTGAGAAACGTTATTCTTGAATTGTTGCACTATTTGATCGTGCAGTGTTTCACAGAGTGGTGAACCCCTCCTCATCTTTACTTCTGAAAGACTCAGCCTCTCTGAGATGCTCCTTTTATGCCCAATCATGTTACTGACCTGTTGCCAATCAACCACCAGGTGGTGTTTTGCATTACACCACTTTACCAGCCTTTTGTTTCCCCCGTCCCAACTTTTTTGGAACGAGTTGTTGCCATCAAAATCAAAATGGGCAAATATTTAAAAAAAATAAATAAAATTTCTCAGTTTCAACATTTGATATGTTGTCTTTGTACTCTTTTCAATGAAATATAGGGTTTAAATGATTTGCACATCATTGCATTTTGTTTTCATTTACATTTTGCACAGCGTTCCAATTGCATTTTTTGGAAATGGGGTTGTATCTTGCATTAATCTGTAGTTCATTCAGGTCAAATCGGATTAATTCGGCTTGCTGCCCTTGTGTTTCAGAGGCCGCATCGGTATTCCATCTTTGAGCAGGCGAGTGTGGTAGAGGCCTTGATCACTCATCTGGGCCTCACCGATCAGAAGGTCAATCTTCTCTCGCATGATTATGGAGATACTGTTGCACTGGAGCTGCTTTACAGGTGAACAAATGACCTTTTTTACACATTACTTTCATATTCTACTGCAAGTGCTGTGTGTCATTGAATGCTGTTTAAGTAGACTGTGAAGATGTGAAGATATGTTCATAATTCATTTCTACGTGACCATTTGACAAAGTGACAGTGACCAAAGTGTGTATATATATATATATATATACTTTTTTTTTTTTTCCCAACCTCTCTTTATCCCCGAGGGTCAAACAGTATTTTTATAACTGTGCCTTTAAGACCTATGTATGTAAATGGCTCCTGTTCTGATTGGCTGCTTCGTATGATGTCTTGTTCAAAAAGCATTCCGTGCTGAAACACTCCTTATATCTTCAGTGTGAATAGGCGGTGCCAAGATGCTGTTGGCTGAATAGGCAATTATATGTAAATGCACCACATCACAAAAACGATGAATTCAAAATGGCTGTTTTTGTGGCTTAGTTTACAGTGAACAGTATGATTTGAAACATTTAATTATGTTAATTATGTTAATTTTTTAAAGGAAGGAAAAGTAAACATATCATGATATGGACCCTTTCATAGTGCATGCCATTTGTGTGATTATCATTAAATAAAAAAAAAAGCAACCTTCTTTATGCAGTCTGTAGGAAACACATCTGGACTGTGATGCACAGCTCTCAGAATGTTAAGAACTGGATCTGGGTTATTCTCACAACTTGAAAAACTAAAACTTGATTCTTCTCTTTTTTTGTACAAAACAGTGATACCTAATGATTTCATTGATTTTTATATTGGTTTTAATTTTTTTTTCTTTTCTTTTCAAGTCTACACTACTGTTGGACTAAGTATTTAAAGTATTAAAGATAAATAAATAAAGTTTTTTTGTCCTTTAATATTTTTTATATATTTTTTTCTCATTACCAGCACATTGACAGCCATTGGGGTTTTTCATATAACATTTTGTTGTTGGTTTGTCTCACGTCTGTACAGTTACAAATAACAGTAAAGAGATTCAACAGTTGAAAGCACCACTGACTTAAAAATATGATGAATATCAGTAATGAGAAACACATGTACACAATGCGGTAATGAGAATTAGGGTAAAAAATGTAAAAATACTTTTAAATAGAAAAAAACGAATCGCACACACTTTTCGCTGTTCCATATTTAGCTCTAACTGACCTACTCAATTATATGTATATTTATTATCTGGATGATGACACTCAAAAATGTATGGACATGTTTAATTTCGCTGGTTGTGGCTCTCAGACTGAAGAGGAGACTATCTGAAGTACAGCTACGACTGAATGTGTACATGATTTGCTTGTTCGTGCTTGTTCACATGCAATATTAACCACACAGGAGTGACCACAATCGAACTGGACATCTGGCCATAAACAGCCTCTGCCTTTCAAATGGAGGTACCTTCCATTCTTATTTATATCAACTATATACAGTTGTGTGCCAAAGTTTGTGCACCCCTGGTCATGGCACATTTTTGAGTTTCTAAGTGAAAAATAATATCACCTCTACTGAGAAACACACTTCTGCACATCTTAATGCACAGTTACTGTTTATTTGCTGAATTTGTCATGCTGGGAAAAAATTAAAAATAAAATATTGTTTGTGAAAAGTTAATTGCAGATTTTGTATTTTATGTTTTATCCCCAGTGTGTTAAAATAAATAGAAACTTCGCACTAATTTGCAGAAAAGTGCTATAGTAGTGAGCTCTCTTTGTTAGCTTATTTTCATGTAATTAGTTAGGGGTGTTTAAACTTTTGCATACATCTGTCCCAGTTTAGTGTGTTAACCTTTGCACTGTGGCACTTTATCACATCATGCAAGAATGCAGTAGCTGCTCTGCTAAATACAGTGCACTGTTAGAAATTAAGGTTCTGTTCAGGTACATTTTCCATTCATCAAGGTACAAACAGTGTAAATGTTCCCTCAAAGGTACAACAGTGGTTTTAAGGTCTGATTGTGAACCTTAAATAAGTTTATCCTGGTGAAAAGTTCGTATTTGTACCTTTTCATAACCGAATGTTTTAAAACAGAACAGTAAAATAAAAGCCTGGAGACGAGACGGGGTGTGTGGAGTCAGTACAGCTTAGAACATATCATTTCAGTGGATTATGGTTCAGTTATGTTCCCTGACTAAAGGTACTGAGATGTACCCTTGAGGGTTCCACCCCAGTGACTGCCCCAGTGCAGTTGAGTACCTTTATTTCTGAGAGTGTACTGCTTTTAATATATGAGGTCATGGACCGGCAACAATAAGTTATTACACCTAATAAATGAACAATGAATAAATCACTGTTCCCTCAGTAACTACTGATATCTTTATCGTTAAAAGGTATATTCCCAGAGACTCATTACCCAAGATTGATGCAAAAGGTATGTCCAGATTTCTAGCACCATCCATAACACTGTATATATTTGAAAAAAAATTAAAAACACAAAACAGTTCATCTGTTATATTGGTGTCTGTAGATCCTGAAGGACTCCGGCTTCATTTCTCCTCTACTTACACGTCTTATAACCTTCCATCTCTTTTCTAGAGGGTGAGTGGACTTTTCTGAATACACAACATTGTGCTTTGGTTTATATCTGTCTCATTAATGTCATATTGAGCACGTCCTACAGAGCTGACCTGACAGATTGAGAGGATTTGTTTATGATTAATCTGTTGTGTTTAATTGTATCTCTGTGACTGGCAGGATTGGAGATGTGTTTGGTCCGTATACCCAACCGACTGAAGCCGAGTACTGGGACATGTGGACAGGCATTCGCTTTAACGATGGAAACTTGGTCATGGACAGGTAAATAGTGAAGTGTGAGAAATCGATCCTGCTGCTCTGGTAGCTTGGATTTCGTTGCTACACTGCAAAAAAAGCCATCCATAACAGCTGTGTCATAAATGAGACGTGAATGCTTATATTAAGCAAAAAAAAATTCTACCAGTGGGGTAAACAAATTTTACTGTGAAATAAGCATTAATATCTAGTTCTTCACATCACCAGGCCTAAATATCTTAAAACTTGTAATACAAGCTACTTGTTGAGCATATAAATCTCTGTATGAATGAAATGTCAGCACTAATACATGAAATGGCAAATTAAAATGTTAAAACTGAATTTGAATTTTCATTTTGTGCCCATTTAATTCAAATATAGGAATATGTTGCCATTTTACATATTACATTTTCATTTTAATTTAGCCACTCATGCGCTTCCATATTTAAACAGCCTTGTCTGTCATTGTTTTCTGGTTTGAAAATGGAAACGCGTTGGGTCGCAGTGATTTCTGGCCAAGTTCTGCTGCTGAAGTCGACACTTATGTTCACTCCGTTCTTCATCCGTCTGAGAGCTCATCTAACACCCTTCCCTTGAGCTAATAAAGTAATGGAACAGCCCTTAAGATGGGGTTGGGGGTTTCTCAGAGGTGGAATGACGAGGCCAAGTGGACGAGGGTTTGTTAAACTGGGACTGAAATGGATGGTATGCTAGTAGTGATGAAGTGTCTGCTGTTTCTTTCTCTTTCTGTCTAGTATATTGCAATATATAAACCAAAGACTGAAGCACAGAGACAGATGGGTGGGAGCACTTACCTCTACGTCAACCCCATGTGAGTATATCCACCATACACAAACTAACCCAGCCATTAATAAGACAACTAAGAGTTAACAAAACAAAGGCTGATATGTACGTTATTGTGCTGTTGTTATTATAATAGGTGTTCCTAGTGTTCCACACGTGCCACTCTGGCCAGTGTAGTAACCATTAAAGTAAATAAACTCCACTCTGAAGTAAGGAAGGTTTGGGACGGAGACCAAGCGAGTCTTTGGTAAAAGGGCCTGTGAGGCTAAGAGGTTTATTCCACTGAAAATCTTTCGAGGAACTGATTAGCCTCATCTGCACCCACATGCCGGGCCACCAGAGTGGCCTTGTGAACTATACACAGTTTCTGTGCCATATGTCAACCCCTACATAACCTACACAGTAGTTTCATAGTGGTGAATAATTCATATTTATTGTTATTGTGATAAATTATGTCACAATATGCTTTTTTTAATTGTTAGTATTTAAAAAGAAAAGTTGTTTGATTACAAAGAAAGCATAATTAGTCATATTTGATTGGATTTTGTATATACAAATTTGGATTTGTAGTGTTTTACAGTATTTTTCAAAAATGTGGCACTACTAACACTACCGTCTGTTCTAAACATAGATTTACATGCCTAGATGCTGCGTTGCCTGTTGTTCTCTATCTGAGGCGATACGTCTGCACGTCCGCCATGTTAGAAAGGTCAAGATCCGCTTGTGAACAGATTCACTTGTATTGGGAGACGAAGAGTCTCAGGATTAAATCAGCCACAACTTCCTTATTACTCAACCGATTTTCACCAAATCTGTTTTGTTATAATCCTCAGACACAGAATAATCTGGGCTGTTCGGACTGCTTTTGGTAGATTTTATTTCTTTAATATCTGATCTTGCTAATTAGATGTCCGGACCAGCAGGAAAGTATTCACTCTGCATTCAGTTTAGCGCTCCGGTAGAAACACAATCACACACATCAGCAAATCCATCAATGTGTGAATCTAATCTTAATACACATAAAAATAAAATAAACCCCCAAAACTCAGCAAGAAGGGCTCAGCTGAAGTTCCTATTCGTCAGCTTCTTGTTCGATTTTCCTGTTCCACCTTAAATGGTGCATCAGCCAGCTTCTTGTTCGATTCTCCTGTTCCACCTTAAATGGTGCATCAGCCAGCTTCTTGTTCGATTTTCCTGTTCCACCTTAAATGGTGCATCAGCCAACTTCTTGTTTGAATTTTCCCGTTCCACCTTAAATGGTGCATCAGCCAGCTTCTTGTTCGATTTTCCTGTTCCACCTTAAATGGTGCATCAGCCAGCTTCTTGTTCGAATTTTCCCGTTCCACCTTAAATGGTGCATCAGCCAGCTTCTTGTTTGAATTTTCCCGTTCCACCTTAAATGGTGCATCAGCCAGCTTCTTGTTCGATTTTCCTGTTCCACCTTAAATGGTGCATCAGCCAGCTTCTTGTTCGATTCTCCTGTTCCACCTTAAATGGTGCATCAGCCAGCTTCTTGTTCGATTTTCCTGTTCCACCTTAAATGGTGCATCAGGCAGCTTCTTGTTCGATTTTCCTGTTCCACCTTAAATGCTGCTTCAGCCAGCTTCTTGTTCGATTTTCCTGTTCCACCTTAAATGGTGCAGCAGTTACGTTCTGGTGCCTGAAGCTGCACCATTTAAGGTGGAACGGGAAAATTCGAACAAGAAGCTGGTGAATAAGAAGCTGACTTCAGGTTTGTGTAAGAAGGTGCTAACGCTAATCTATTATGAATATTTACACTGATTAAGGAATGATATAACCACAAAGCTTTAACCATCACTGTAAATAAATAACTACTATATAAGGTTAAGATCCTGAATAGACTATTAAATGAAATAAGCTTCATATAAAACCAGAGGAAAAACAATCACATCAACAGGTTCTCTGTGCCTCATTAACCACACGGCCATATCTACACAAACACCACACAAACAATACGCATCACACAGACATGAGATCACTGCGTTCCCTCCGTTATATAATCCTATCCCACTTTCTGAGAGCAACATTCTTGAAATAGTGTAATTTTGGACAGTATCTTTCTTAAACTGCTGCTCTGTAATGGTACTGAATGCAGTCCATCAGCAATGTTGACAGGCCCAAAATGGCGGTGCCATTGACGGGCCTAGCTGGACCCAACGCAGCATCTAGATATGTATATCTATGGCTTTAAATGTGAGAAAAAATAAATATTGTGTATCGTGATATTACATTTTTGCCATCTCACCCCTCTCGAATTCATAGTAGTTGCTGGATAATAATCTTGCAATTAATACCTGAATAATAAGCCTCAAGTTAAGGGCTGAACATTGTCTGACATTAATTCAGCTGAGCATTGTGTTGCAAACTTGCCCTGCAAATTCACAACCTGCCTGGAGCCTGCAGGGTCCTCCAGAATGTGATCAAAACTAATAGCCCTTCTGTTTATTGTCTTAATGGCTTAATTCAGTTAATTACTTAGTTTGCTGTTGCACAAAATGAAGCCACTTATCTGATAAAGAGCCCTTCTAGTCCTTTTTTACTGTGCGCTTTTTTTTAAGAGACAGCTGGAGGAGACAATATAGTTTATCTAGAAAACCTCTGCAGCACTACTGCCGATGTTCAGCACCATCCAATCAGATTATCCTCAAACTACTGTAAACTCCAGCCTTCCTACCTCACATCACTGACCAGTTTAACTGAAGTGAAACTGAACTGGGGTTCAACAGAGTCAGGCCAAGTTTCAGCTTCACAAAACCTTAACAAACGGAATGACTGTTAACAACTTTAATCCAGATTTAAACACTCAGGCTGGGATTAATCCTCGAGCGTGTGCACATGAAAGCATGACGTTTATGACAAACGTCCAGCCGCGTGAAACACAGACAAGTTTTTTCAATGAAGGCAACAGAAATTTATGTAAATATGTGAAAAGCAAAGTGTTTATACCAGCAAAATCAGCACTAATATAATAATAATTAAAAACTGGATCTATGTAGCACCTTTTACACGTTAAAATGCAGCTCAATGTGCTTTACAATGACAAAAGGCAAATAAAAGCCAGCATAAATGAGAAACTAGAAAACAGAGAAGGTAAAAACAGAGGAAAAGAGTAGAAAAGTAAAACAAATTCTAAACAAATTCATACACTGATCTACTGTTAGTAATATTTGCTTTATATTCCTAACATCTGTGTGGTATAATTTGTTTCCTGTGCTAAAAGATTATATTTGTTGCCACGTTACGAAGATTAAAAGTCATGTGTCCACCTCCTTCAGTCTCTGGCCACATTCACACAGCAGGTAAAAAGTGGCCCAAATCTGATTTTCTCACCAAATCAGATTTTTTTGTTTGGCTGTTCACATTATCTTTTAAATGTGATCTGTATGCGACATCAGTCTGAACAGATCAGCTCCTAAACTGAGCCGCATGCAAAAGAACAGCGTCACGCTGCTTCACGGCTCATCCAGAGGTAAACAATCACGACCGCCAACGAACGTCAGTCGCGCCCGGAGGATCAGCTTCATCTTCACCAGCATCACAGGAGCCATCATGAAGCTTCACTGACTAATAGCTGGGCTCATCACCCAGAATGTGTTGGAGTTCGCCGTAAAAAGGGCGCGGTCACTTCTTTGGTTCGCGTCTTTGGATTCTTTAAACTCTGCTTTCAGGCTTTTAACTATTCTTTGACGCTGCAGCCTCGTTCTCCTACGGCCGCATTCGGCGGGTTTTGGATGAGTCTCTAATAATTTTTTGTACAAAAACATCAGCCTAAATGTTTGAGGTCTCAGCAGCGCAAAATTATGATGAATGTGGAGTTGGATTGACGAAAAAGTCTGATCCGAAATCAGATTGTAATTTCAGTACCACATAATTTCAGTGCCGGAATTTCACTACCACATATGAAAGCGTCTCAAATCGGAACTGAAAATGTCAGATTCAGTGTGTTTATCTGTTCACACTGACACACAGACGCACATCTGTGTCACATATAAAGAAAAAGATCGGATTTGGGCCACTTTTACCTGCTGTGTGAACAAAGCCTATGATTGGTCAGACGCTCAGCCTTGATTGGTCCAAGAGCTGTTTACAACCCGAAATCCTGAACTTATCTGGTCTGCGCAGTTCATCAGACTGTATTGTAAACTATTTACATTTTCATCAAGTTTCAGGACTGGAGCTCTGCTCCGGCTCCCTCCAGCCCAGTTTAACCCCAGACCAAGACCACACTCCCAATATCGGTTCCCACTTGGCAAACTGTAATAGAGGAATACTGTACAGCAGAGCTGCATGACCAACAACTGGCAGTGATTTTGACTGATACCATGAGGAGAAAAGCTTCCCCCAGCTTATTTCTAAATACACCAACACCTGAGCACTGCTGCGTAATCCATACTGACACGAGACAGTTGTAGGTAACTGTTTACACTCACAGGCAGCTCCTTCTCAGTAGAGGATTTCAGAGCAGGAGGAACTGCACTTCCTGCTCTGTGGCTACACATCCTGTTTCCTATTTAGACGAAACAATGGTGATGTGAAATGAACTACATTTGACGCAAATGTTATTAGTTATTGGTAATAATATGGTAATTACATTTTTGTTTTATTTGTCTTTCAGTGCATATGATCTATGGACCTCTAGATCCAGTTAACCCCCACCCCCAGTTCATTCATCTCTACCAGTAAGTGCTTCGGGGTCTGTGATGTGTGCTGTTTATTCTGTACATACAGTCGTAGCAAAGTTTGGACACACCCTGATCAAATGACATGTTTTGTTGATTTTTTGATCAACAAAAATAAGTGAAAATAAGTTCACATCCTCCAGAGAGAGCACACTTAAATATGGCATTTTTCTGCAAATTTTAGAGCAAAATTTTGATTTATTCGCTGATATGTGCCGTAATATTTTTGCCATGTTTTATGTGTTATTTTTTTCCCAATATGTTAAATTCAGTAAATAAGCAGTAATCATGCATTAAAGTGTGTTCTCTGTAGAGGACGTGTTCACTTAATTTCACTTAAAAATGGACAAGGTTTTCTTCCGACAACAGCGAGAAGTTTGGGCATCCCTGACCAAAGTCCATGTTTTACTGACTTTGTCATTTTTCAGTTTTTGACATCATTTGAAAATACCTGTTGTTCTTTACCTTGTGTGTGAATTTCATGATGAATGGACCAAAAGAAACGGCTCAGAATGACTTGGAAAAAAGTCTGGTTCCATTGACTTACATTAAAACTAAAGCATGTTTTTTCCTTCTCCTGTAAAGTTGTATGAGGTTTTCTTGAGGTTTTCTTCCAACAGCAGCGTTTTGTTTATACTATGCATTATATCTGCTGATGCTGATACATAAACATTTATCAAAGGTAAAAAATTTGGATTATTACAGAAACATATTTATTAAGGTAGGGTTACAAATGCAGTAAAGTAAATAAAATGCAGATATTTTAGTGCAGTAACCCAGCACAATAAATGTTTCATTGAATATCTTTTGAAATATTATTAAAATCTAAATCTGTTCAGTGCCAATTTTTTAAGCAGGTATCCTACTGATACCAATTCTGATATATATTATGACAGTCATACTTTACAAACAGGCACTTAAGAATGCCAGCTGACCGTACCGTACTGTCGGTGTTACACTACACAACTTTTACCCTAATTCTAGCCCTGATTCTCAGTCTGGCCGAGTCTGAGCTGGTCGGCTCTGGTCTGCAGATTTTTGGGTCAGTCGGAGTCGACGGTTGGAGAGAGAATCGAGTTGTGTGTGAGGGGCACAGAGTCAGATCTTTGGCCTCCCAAACATTAGATTTTTTTGACCCGACTCTGAGCGTAAACTAGTGTAAACAGGTCAACGACTCAATCTGGCCAGACTCCTGCAACAACCAATGGAAACTGAGAGTGTGAAAGAAGAAAATACAGCAAGTAAACAAAGAAAAATGGCAAAAAGTCAGTCAGGTGTGGAGCGAAGCTGTTTAATGAGCTGAGTTTAAGGCACAATCGAGTTTACGTACATTTAAAACTCTAAAAAACACCAACTGATCACGTTTTTAAATCAGTGAGCCTCATTTAAACATGTTTACCTGCTGCTTCTTTACTGTGTCAGCGCAAATGGCAGGGAAAACAGCAGCAGCGAGCAGCAATATGTTTGTTTATTTGCGTCTCCTAGTAACGAGAGAAATTGTTTAGTGTGTGATTCCCCAGTATTTCAGTCGCCCCAAAAAAATCGGGTTGAGCTTTTTAGACCCCGTCATACGTCTTTACATATTAACGTCACACACACAGGTTTAGAAAGAACTCCGGCTTAATGTTTAGTTCTCAAGTTCGGAGTCAACAAAAACTGATGAAGATATGATAAAAATAGTAGAAAAAAGGTTCACAAAAGGTTCTTTTGCTAGTTGCATGCAGTTACACATTTCCACCAGAGAGGAAAATCCCCAAATCTTACCTAGTGCAGCTTTAACAAATGCTTTGTTTATGTTTACTCCTACCATTGCAACTTCTTTATTTCATAAAGATTTCAGTGCAGTCAGTTGTTAACTGCCTTATGAAGCTAAATCAAGGTTGAGCAGCTGATGAGTGATGTGCTGGTGGAGAATAAAACGTGTTTTTCCTTTTAATACCCACAGAAAACTCGTTCAGAGGTCGACTGTGTCGATTCTGGATGAGCACATCAGCCATTACCCACAGCTTGAGGACCCTACAGGCTTCATGAACGCCTACCTCAACTTCATCAACTCTTTCTGAGCAGTTTCGTCGCTTTGACGTCGCACACTGGCTCGTTGAAGCAGATGCTCTGAGAAATCCTGGCTGAGAGACATTGTGGTATTAAGGATCACCGGTATGGATCTCTTGGGCAGAGAAAGAATATGAACAGGATTTTTAAATATTCATTTGTTGAACTTCTTGATTTGGAGTTCAACAAAACAAAACCTTTTATAGAAAATGTGATGTTAATATCTGGAACGGCAGCAGCTCCTGTATTTTACTCCGCAGATGGCCATGAACTGACCTGTGATCAGGGTCATAATTGATAAAATTGCCACTAATGGCTTATCTGACTTTTTTAGTGATCATGAGAAAATGTTTATATTGTTTATAAACGGTGGCAAATAAATAGGGCTGAACAAGTTGGGCTGAATAGTTAATTGTAATTTTTCTGACCAGAATTGTGATGAATATTAAAATTGAAATGAAATTATTTTATATAAATTGAGGTCCAGGCCTGGTGTTTTGGACAAGAAGACCTGAACCTATTGTTCTACCACTGACTACCACTTCTGGTTGTGTTATGTACACAGCACAAGGGTGTGTTTCTGCTTGGTCTGACTCATCTACAGGCGCTTCACAAGCTTTTAAGCTATAATAATTACAGCTCTTGCAAAAAATTAAAAATTGCACTCTGTCAAATTGCAATTTTGATATAAAATTATTAATCTTTCTGCCATACAAACGAAGCAATTACAACTTCATGATAAAATGGGCTTCTGACCAGATACTGACCAGCGGGACAACAAACCTCTAACCCCTTCCTTCAGCTTTACAGAAAAATGAAGTGGCAGATGTTCTGCAAGGTCAGATTCTCACCAGCCAAGTTAAAGATCACTGGGTCTCATTTACCAACGTCTTCCTGAGTTTTTTCTTTATGTTCTTGAGGAAGGTCCTACGAAAAAGTCTATGTCAGATTCATGTTGTGTTCTTTAAGCGCAGAACTGTTCTCACCTTTGTGCTCTTGAGTGTGTGTCGATTCTGTTCTTACCTAAGAACAAATCTGAAATAAGAAAACACTGGTAAATGTCAGATGCTGAAACTGTGTAAGTGGGTTTAAAGAAGAAATTTCTTCTTAAGCACAGTTGGTAAATGAGGCCCAGTGTTTTTTGGATATGCAAACAAAGAGAAGGATCAGTAACTCTGCTTGTTAACATCGGTGGCAATGAATGATGGAGTCAGTATAAAGTCTCATCACTCTGCATTTACATGGAGAAATGAATTGACATTGACTTCACCACATTCTGCTTCGGCTGGTCACATACGGCTCGAATTGGTTAAACTGTCCCTATAAAGTCTGTAAAGAGACGCTTGTCTCAGATGAATGTAAAGGATGGTTTAAATTAGCATGAACTGGCAACCCCTTAAGTTCCTGCGATCTCTCGATTATGTATGTATGATGGCAAGCTGAATATTAAATATACCTGGTTAAAAAAAACAATCAGCATCACAATAAAATTATCTTTTTTTAATGAATGTTTCATGTGTTCTCAAGTAGGTTTTACCCAGAAGACGAGCGCCAGCTATAGACAAAAAACAACTGTTCATGAATGTGTTTACTGAGTGTTGTTTATTGATTAATGTAAAAGTCATTTGGATTTAACAGTGTTGTCGTGGACAGACGTTTACTACAGCAGGTAGAATAGAGGAATAAAATTAAGCCACAGACTATGTGGTGAATGAAAACAGCACATTTTTAGATGCAGCTGTATCTCTGCTTGGTAACTTCGGCTGCTTTAGCTAAACGCCACCCCCCCCACTGGAAAAACCAAGTTGAAAGAGCAACAAAGACAGATGTGGAAAAAGTACAAACATTATTACACATATTAGCACAGGAGAGGAAAGAGCTGTATTTAAACATGCATGGACCCGGTTTGATTGACATGTGACCTGATCCAGGCATTTCAGCGTCCTCTTAACCGACAGACGCAAGGATGACGTCGACCACGTTTTCATCTGTACTTCGCACCGTCACCTGCATGGTGACTCCATCAGCGAGGGCGAGGCGAGCCCGCACCAACACGTCATAACCTCCCCTGAACACACCTGCAGAAAGGGACACAGTCATAATGAGTCTACTATAAAGTGGACCACAGTAATACTGTATGTATTTGGAAGAGTTATTTGGTTTCATCCTCGGCCATCTAGGCTTTGTTCACACAGCAGGTAAAAGTGGCCCAAATCTGATCTTTTTCTTTATATGTGACACAGATGTGTGTCTGTTTATCAGTGTTAATAGCAAAAAAAACACTGAATCTGAAGTTTTCAATTTCGATTTGAGACGCTTTTATATGTGGTACTGAAATCCGACTGAACAGCCAGATCGGAATTCATGCAACTTTTAAGTCAGTCTATCTCCACATTCATCATAATTTCATGCTGCTGAGACCTCAAACATTTAGGCTGATGTTTCTGTACCAAGAAGTAGAAGAGACTCATCCAAATCCTTCCGTGTTTGAAGAGATTCAGAAAGAAACGGCCGAATGCGGCCGTAGGAGAAAGAGGCTGCAACGTCAACAGTTAAAAGTCTGAAAGTAAAATTGAAAAAATCCGAGGACACGAACCAAAGAAGTGACCGCGCCCTTTTTACGGCTTGAACACATTCTGGGTGATGAGCCCAGCTGTCAGTCAGTGAAGCTTCATGATGGCTCCTGTGATGCTGGTGAAGACGAACCCTCCAGGAGCAGCTGGCGTTCGGTGGCAGTCGCGATTGTTTACCTCTGGATGAGCCACATGAAGCAGCGTGAATCTTTTCTCCATGCGGGTCAGTTTAGGAGCTGATCTGTTCAGACTGATGTCACATACGGATCACATTTAAAAGATATTGTGAACACCCAAACAAAAAAAAATCTGATTTGGTGAGAAAATCAGATTTGGGCCACTTTTACTTGCTGTGTGAACGTTGCCTTCGGCTGCTGCAGTCCTGGCTATTTTTCCTGCCTAGAGAGGTCTTACTGGCTAATTCAAGTATCATCAGTAATTCCTTTAATTTCATAGTTTCAGTGACACAAAGGCAAAGATTTATGACTGGTCTTCTGAAATCCAACTACATATGGCTGCTTCCTGCAATCTTGGCACTGATAAATCTACTTACACTAAAACTTTTCAGGTTGACTTTGTGACGCTACCTGGAATTGAATCATTAATACACTGAGAATGAAAACTGGACAGTATGCAGAGGTCACACAGTCACAGCACAAACATTCCACATTAATTTTGCGCTCCAATCCAATTCCCAATTTATCCCAAAGAACAAAAATGTGGGCCGTCTGGGGGCCCTGAGGACCATTTTGAGAACCACTGCTATACAGAGTGATTAAAAACCTCACTCATTGCCTTTAAGAATGAAAGTTAGTATCAGGTAAGAAACTGAATTCATACCTGCCAGGAAGAGGACATGCGAGTTCTTGTTTTCAGGAACCTTGTCCGAGCGTTCACACGGCTGCATGCCCAGGAAGCTGACAATGTTGTTGACGGCCTCTGTGGAATTGCATACAGTAAGGTGAGGATGATGTCTCACCAATGCTTTACTCACAACTAATTTACAGGTACTGGAAATAAAACCAGTAAGCTGTATGAATTCACTAAGTTTCTGAAGATGATCTGGAATGTTTCTAAAATGATTAAATTGTCTGAGAGGAATTTAACAAAGTTTACCCTCCAGAGTCCGAACTGAGGCCAGAGCAAAAGTCTCCTCCTTCTCAAACTCATCTCCAACTTCTTCCCACGCTGCACCGAAATTTGGTTTCAGAACTTTCTGTATGTGGTCTGCTACCGTCACCTCCAGATCCTCTAACTAAGGGGGAAAAGAAAAAAAAAAAAAAACAGGAGTACTGATGATAACTCTGCACAACAGCTGTGCATATGGTTCCAGAAGGAAACGATCGGTGTAGGTGTACATACCACATATTCATCATCATAACCATCATCGTCAGGTTCACCCGTGTTTGGATCGCAGTCCCGCACCAGGTATTTCATTGTACAGCTGAATGTGCAGGACACTGAGAAAACAGCAGGACAAAGAATAGTTTTAGGTCAGGAAGCTGTTTCCTAAATTTCAAAGAAATCAGGGAGGTGCATTCCAACTAATTTTGATATTCAAATATCTGTAAGAGACGTTTTTAGCATCGCATAGAGAAATACATTTCAAAACATGTTTTATTACCTAAAAATAACCAAGGGAAATCCACAGGATTTCATGTTGGATGGGTTACATTCCGGATGAGCTAAATGAGCTAAAACTAAAACATCTGAGGGCCCAACTTCACTCTAGTCTTTTTAACGATAAAAGCCACCTTCTCAGTCACGTCTTTAACAATACGTCCTTGGTAACAAACGCACATTCAGGCACTGGTATACTTACTTGCAAATACAAGCAAAACCTTCAAGTTTTATAGTTCTGACAAAACATAAAATCTGTATTTCATTAAATTTTTGATCTGAATATTTTCCTCCATCTTCCCATGATGGAACGATTTAAGGCCCAATCCCATTTCTTATTTTTACCCCTACCCCTTGTTTTTGAGTGTCATCTTGCCCCTTGGAACGTACAAAATGGGACCCTCAAATAAAAAGAGCATTACTTCATTAACAGCTACCAGCGCTGCTCTGTAGGCGACCCTGCCAGTCTGCAGTGACAGCAGAGGAGGGTAAAGTTCAGCTCCTCACTGCTGGGCTTTAGTTACATTTAGGGAATCATATGCCTTCAAAGAGGGGGACAATTATTTGTTATCTCCCACCCCTAATTCTTCAGTGATATGAAGCTGAACTTCTTATTCGCCAGCTTCTTGTTCGAATTTTCCCGTTCCACCTTAAATGGAGCAGCAGTTACATTCTGGCGCCTCAGGCATCAGAACTGCTGCACCATTTAAGGTGGAACAGGAAATTTAGCTAGCTAGCTACCGAGACGTCAGCATACTACTAGCGATTTTTTATGCTTGTTATGAAGAAAAGGACCGTAACACACTGAAATGACATGAAACTAAGATAATACAGTGGTTATTATAATTATTTAACAGAGAAAATACTCATATTTATGGGTTCCTTTGGTCTCTCGTTCAGCCAGCTTGTTCGTTTTTTCTTTTTTTCCTCATAACACACTGTTTGGAGGGCCATGTAGCCCTTACACTTCGCCCTACCCCTCTATCTCAACAAAAACTGGGACACCCTACCCCTCGGTGTGAATGCACAAAACAGAGGGCTAAGGGTTAAGTGGTAGAGGCGAGGGGTGAAATGGGATTGGGCCTTAGTATTCAAATACTGGCACCTCGAACAGTTCACTGAGTTTTCGTGCTCATTCCTAACATAAAACATTACTAGCACCTACTGACTGAACAGTTAAGTCATGGTTGTGTTAATGCAGTATGTATTACCTGCTGTGGGGTCATCGTCAGGTAGCCGAACCAGTGTGTAGCTGGAGCCCGGCTGGTTGTAGGGCAGGCTAGCTGCAGGGACATGGTGTACCACTTCGTAGGCCTCTGACGGCTCCATCTGCACCAGGACGCGTTGGAGGAGCTGGTCGTTGAGAGTGTTGGTGCAGTCGAACTGGAACACCATGTGCGCGGCGAACGTGTGCTTGATGCAGCGCACCACATACTCCGTCTCAGCCTCCGTCAGCTGGACCGGCTCTGAAGACTTGAAAAGAGGACCCAAAGACTGGAACTCGGGGATGGCAGCGAGTTGCTCTGAGAGAAAAAGAGAGAGAAACAAAAGAACAACAGGAGAATGTGTTATAGCTGTGAGGTGTGGTCATTTTTTTTTTAATTTATTGACATTATCATTGTAAACTTAACTGAGCTCACCTTCTTTAGCATCACATAGAGGAATACATCTCAAAAGCTTTATTATTAAAAAATAAAGGTTGTCGTTTTAGCAATTTTTTCAATTCTTCTTATTGTCTATTCTAAGCAATGAAACTGCTAAGGGATTCCATCCTTTAAAGGGCCCATATCATGGAGAAATTTACTCCACTTTTTTTTTTTTCTTCTCCCCAATTTAGTCGTCTCCAATTCCACCCGCTAGTTAGGACTCCCCCAATCACACGATGCTATCAACGCTAGGAGGGCGAAGGCTAACACAGGCTTCCTCCGAGACCTGTGAAACCAGCCACCGCTTCTTTTCGAACTGCCGCTCACGCAACGTCACTGGACAGCCGAACGCGCTCGGAGGAAAGCGCCAACCGCCAGATCTGTTACGTCAGCTAACAGACACCTGCGCTGACTAGCATCGCGCTGAGTGATGGGGGGAGAAGGAGGGGCCATCCTACCCACCCAGAGAGAGCGAGGCCAATTGTGCTCTCTCAGACTCCCGGCTACGGACGGCTGTAGCATCACCAGGGACCGAACTCGCGATCTCCTGATGATAGGGCCAACGCTTAGACGGTTGTGCCACTCGGGAGCCCCTACTCCACTTTTTTTAATATAAAAGCAGAGAAGTTTAGAAACATACAGTTCACTCCTTACAGTTCACTCCTTAGTCCATATGCGTCCATATCTGGAAACTAGGTGCAAAAAACAAGTCTACTCTAATAAATCTACTTATTCAGTCTACAGCAGTTCAGCATGAATGGATGGGGCTAAAGTGATAAGGAGTGTTTCAACCTGGGCTATTTTTTTTAAAGAAGCCCAATACAGGGCAGTCAATCAGAACAGAGCATCATTTACATATATCAGTCTCAAAGGCATAGTAACAAAAACAGACTGTTTAGTTCTACAGGTAAAGACAGGTTGGAAAATGATCAGCTGAAAAATCAATGTTTTGGGTATATGAAACCGTTCCAATGTCAAAAGTGAACCTAAGGAAGGATAAGTAAAATAAACAAGGAGGATGTGGGCCATTAAACAGCCCTACACATTACTGTACGACACCTTAAATTTGTGTTTGCCTCTTTAAAATAGCTTTTTTTATATATGTCTCTGTATTTCTTTTGCCTTAACCTGCTGACAATAATTTGGCCCTTAGCTTTACTGACTGAAGTGACATCAACTAACAGTGAGGAAACCTCCTACATCGTTTGTTGTCAAACTTGACTTATTTCCTGTCCTTCTGTAATCCTAACAAATCACTCACAAAAACAAAAAAACGGTCATTCTATTGACAAATGCATACTGTATCACTGTGTTTCTGAACATGTGCTAAGTAGCTGTGACCTGCCTGCTTACCTTGGTAAATATCTTGGCGGGAGGGTGCAGGTTTTTCAGGGAGCTTGCTTGTAGCCACTGGAGCAATTTCTGGCACAGGAGAAAATTTGAAGCCGGTGTGAGGATTATTGTGTAATTACTGCAGTTTACTTCAAAAGCAGGTTATTAATTTAAAGAGATTAGCGAGAAGCCTGATGCATGAAAATACTGTGAAGTAAAACATTTGGGGTGAAAGACTGAATGGACTTCAGCGGACGGTCAATTTGTGAAGATATCTGAAGACAACACTGAGTCCCAGAAGCCTACCTGTTTTCTGCTCTGTGATCGGCGCGGTAGCCAGAGGAACGGTCTTCATGTCAAAGGGTTTCTCTGAAGGCTCCAGTGTATACTGGTGCAGAGATTTCTCCAGCCCAGGAACAGAAACAGACAAACCTGAACCCAAAGCAAACATCAGCCATTAGACAATTGTTACAGCATCTAAAACAGCTAGCATGATACTATGCAAATGGAAATCCAGCTGGCCACAGTAGCACTGTTTGATCATAGATACAGTTCTGTCAATCACCAAGGCATACCATTAAAGATGTAGGCAGCGTTCAGAGCCTTCTGTTTCTGCTGCAAGACGTTCATGTAGAACGTTGCTCTGTCCCTCACTTCATCATCGCTATCCATCATGCACCTGCAACAAACATGCAAAACAGGCTGAGTTCCTCCTTCCTGCATGTTAAATGTTACGTTCCAGAAATTTCACGCAGAATCAGAAATCAGCACGAACAGCTAGAGCACAGATGATGGGCATTATGAGAAACAACATTTGCTTTGCTTAAATGACAAGACAACAAACTAGTCATGACCCATCACAGGTTATACTGCTAGTCTGACACAGCAAGAACTTCTACATTTTCACAAATTAACTTCACGTCTTTAGTGTCTCTCAGCAGATCAGCTAAACCAGGGGTGTCAAACTCAGCCACTAAAAGGGCCATATTAAAAAAGGTCAACAGGCCATCTGTGTTTTTATTCTATTTTTATTTAACATTTTGCCATGAACCCAACCTGGCCGGTGTTTATTCAAAATATGCCAAAACTACAACAGCAAAAAAAAAAAAAACTAATGCTTGAACAATCCAAAAATAATTTTAAATAAATGAAAAAAAAAGATTATATAAAACAATAGACCACATTAGCTGCAGACTGTTAAACCTCTTTAAATGTCTCCGGTGTACAGCAGTTTTTTTAAAACTGCCCATTCACTTTAACTAGACATCTGGCATCTTTTTTTTTTGTGGTGCTGTCCCATAGACCGATGTTTGGGAGGGGGCGAGAGCACACATTATGTTGCAGTGCATGCTAGGAACTGTAGTGCAGCTCATGGTGAAAAAGCTAATATTAATAGAAAATTAAAATAATTTTCCGGGCCGAATAGGGCCTGACTTGGCCCGCGGGCCTTGTGTTTGACACACGGGACCTAAACTGATGCTGTGAACTGGGGATATTTCGCAAAGCAGATAACTTAAGCCTAAAGTTGAGTATTCGACATATTCGATCACATCATTAAGAAGACCATGTCGCCATGCTGGTAGGTGAGCTGTAACTTTGACTGTGCTCTGAGAGAGCTCGTCTCATCACCTTTACTGCAGCTACAGCCCTGCAGGTGGATGAAAACGAAGCAAAATAGACCAGAATGACCTCGAAAAAGATGAAAAGATATGCAGACGCTTTAGATTTAGTCTCCAGGAAACGCTACGAGGAAAAGATTAACTAGATTGGTGGACTGGATCCGTATAGCCTGCATTTCTCCAGCGTTCAGAACATTCCAGTGCGTGAGATTTTACAAAAAGTAATGAAAGTGGCTAACAAAGCTGTCAAAGCTCTAAAATAAACTCATACATATACATCAAGCTCAGCTTTTTCGGCAGCTTCTCATTTGAATTTTCCGTTCCACCTTAAATGGTGCTGCAGTTACACTGTGGAGCAAACACAAAGCTAACAACAGCTTACCTCAAAAAATACATCAATTCACCTCAATAAATGATCCCTCATCAACAAATACCTCAAACTTTGCGTTTAACTGTTACTGAGCAGCTAATGAGCAGCACAGCGAAGCTATAATCAGCCGCTGGTGCTGCTGAACGCGTCTCACTGGCTGATCTAATGCTGCGTCCCAAACCACATACTTCTGTACTTCCTTTACTACACTAATAAGTGCACTTCTAATGGTATATCTGCTACTTTTCGCATACTATTCAGTGTGCTAGTATGCAGTTTGTTAGGCGAAAATAATAACGCAGCAGGTAATCTCAGCTGTTTACATTTTAGCACACGTATGTCATCAGTACAACCACAAATCAAATAAAATCAAGTCAGTACACTCAAATAAGTTGATTAATGTGCTTTAAAATTTAAAAAGGTTTAAAAAAAACGTGTTTTACTGCGTTTGCTGGATTTCTTGTGGCTTTGTTATCTCATCACAAACAGCCACGGCACTGCTGAATGAACCTGAATTTGGCAACCAAAACGGTGGCAGCATGATAGTGACGTTATCGGAATGATTTCCCTCAGCCCTTTGTTTTTTGGCCCTGCCTGAGTTTGGTCTTCAGTTATCTGGTTAAACTAAGAAACCTTGCTTTGTAAGACCCCCTTATGTCCTCTGCATGCTCCAAACAATAGTGAAAGCCTGGCTTACCTCTGCATCAGGACCAAAACACTGGGGAGCAGGTCATCGTTCTGCGCGCCAAACTTAGCCAGGGCACTCACCGCAGCTTTGAGGGGGGGAAGAGAAGAAAGCATGAATCACAGCAAGGCACATGGTCATCAGTGAGGTCAACTACCACACAGAGTCACTGCAGAAGAATGCTCAGCCTGCCACAAAGCCTCTTAGCCCTGTAGTCTGTCACTGAGAACACATCAAATCCAGCTATTCAGCCCCACTTAGTAGGTACGGCTTTGCCCTTCTTGTAGTTCCTCTACGGTGAGCTCAGCCGGCACGTGGCTCAAGCGAGCCCTAAAAGCTTGAGCTGTATGAAGTATGTTTTAAAACTTCGTTAGGGATTGAGCGTGACCCTAAAGTCCTTAAAACAAATAACACTCTTTACTGTACCAGTTCCACACTTTCATTTTGACCAAAACCTGAACGAACAAAGCACAGGGGAAAGCTTCTCCACAGCCAAGAAAGATTATAGTGAGTTGCTGGGATCAGCACTTCTAATCTGATTATCCAGATGTTAAAGGGGTGAGGTAATACTGTTTCTCTGTTTAAGGCCATGTCCTCAAATCAAGCTGGAGAATTGCAAGACACAAAGTTTACACAGTCAAACACTGCTGACATTAAAAGAGCACAAGACAAAGCTAGCAGCAAGCTAGGAATGCACTGACACCACATTTCCCCTTCTTTACGCTATTTTAGATGCTTAAGAAAACTTATTTTTACTTACTAACTATATAATTAGTATTTACTAATCATATAATTAGTAATAAGACTCATTTAATAAGTGAAGTAAACGCAATGTATGGTTGGCTCTGCTGTGCTGCTTCCCCACCTGAATTTCTCAAGTAATTTGCTCATTCATACATCTCACGGTTATATCTGTGATGCATCAGACTCTGCTGGAGTTCAGTGAATATTACAGTCATTCACGATGACAGCAGCAGCAGCAGTTTTCAGCCTTTTTTTCTGGTTGAAGCAACAGGCCGCGAGAGCCCGGCGCTAGGTGATTCAACTGACCTACGGAGGCCAATCATGACCTTAAGAAATCAGTGGCTCCTTCCACATGTCTCTCTAACATTCACAACCCCAGTAACAACCTGGACTAACATTAACTCAGACTGTAACTGAGCACACAGTGGGAGATGAGTGGCTGCTGAAAGAAGCCCGGCTCAGCCATTTAGGTAACAGGCTCTCCTGTTTCGGTGTAAATTTGGAAGCCCCTATCTTGGGTCATGCATACACTCTCAGAAATAAAGGTAGTGAACTGTCACTGGGGCAGTTCCCCTCTTGTCACTGGGGTGGGCCCCTTAAGGGTACATCTCAGTACCTTTAAGTCAGAGAACATAACTGAACCATAATCCACTGAAATTATACGTTCTAAGCTGTACTGACTCCACACACCCCGTCTCGTCTCCAGGCTTTATTTTATTTATCTGTTTTAAAACATTAGATTATGAAAAAGGTACAAATCCATACTTTTAACCTGGAAAAACTTATTTAAGGTTCACAATCGGACCTTAAAACCACTGTTCTACTTTTCAGGGAACATTTACTTGTTTGCACCTTCATGAACGAAAATGTACCTGCACAGAACCTTTATTTCTAACAGTGTACGTAAGCGATAACCTCACCAATCAAAGGGTTAGTGTGGGTTGTCCTGTTCACACAACAGACGGACTGAGGGCTGTCGATCGGGCATCCCCGTTAGATTATTAGAACCATGTCAAGACTGTTCTCAGACGGGTCTGATCAGCATTTTTAAGCAGTGTGTTATTATATTTCAGCTTTTTCATTCAAACTTTGCTGGATGTTTAATGTAACACTCAATTTTAGTTTCATACAAACATTTCTAATATTTCACACTATGTTCCCTGGGACTACATCATCACAAAAAGCAGGGATGCACCAATATAGGAACTGTGGGCCAATATCTAATATGTTTCTAACATTCTGCTTTTTTGAGTGCAATAAATATGCCAAAAAATATTTGTGAAATCTACCCGTCCAATGCTCCTATTTTTCCAAAGTAAATATCAGGTAATACCGATATAAGTCTCATATCATCACGCATCCCTAGTGAAAAGGCTCAGTTCACTGAGACTCCCCGGAGGACTCACAGGTCAGAGGGAAGCTCACCTGCACGGACTGCCTCACTCTCAAGCACAACGCGGTTGAAGATGAAGCGGATGTATTTAGAAGGCGAAGGGGTGCGAGGACCTTCCTTCCCCAGCAGGTGCAGGATCTTGGTGGCCAAGACTGTGTGCTCGCAGTCCTCGATAAACTCACACAGGTGAGCCAGGCCCGTCTCCTTACTCTCCGGGTTCTCCTCAATGATGCTGATAATGCAGTCCACGATAGCACGCTTATACTCAAAGCCACCCTGCAAAGACAAATCAGAGTGAATTAACAACGTAACTCATGCCTATATGGAAAATGTACGTATACGATTGTAACAGCAAATCAAATTATTTATATTTTCACATCTGTTCATTTCTTGAAGCACGACTTGTAGTATCTGCATAATGTAATACAAATGCACTGCCCTATATGAACTCACATCGTCTCTCAGCATGTTGGACAAGAAGTTCATCATCACACTGTGTTTTCTTGGATACTTCTGGCAAAGGGCACTGATGGCCTGCACCACCACCACCTGGAAAAACATACACAGGTATTAGCTGAAGATCTCAAGAACTTTACCTCCACTTCAAAACCCTATATATTACCAGATAAGACAACCCCCTGACATATATGCTGCATCAACAGAAGGTGGGAACATTGTGGTAGGTCTAGTATAAGCACCTGATACACATTATTGTTTCAATTTCCATCAATCACCTTGAACTCATCAGATATTTCTGAGACAAAGGAGGAGATCTGTTTCATCAGGCGGTCCACGCTGCTCTCACTGCCAGTCTTCAGCAGGGTTGTGATGGCCAGAGTTGCAATGCTGCGGTTAGAGTCTGTAATCAAATTCTCCAGGTCCAGGTTACAGGCAGTCACTGCAGAGGGGTGCTTCATTGCCACCTAGCGGACATAAGAATGAGTAACAGTGGTTACAATTCAGTTTCATTGATGTGCACCCACTGCTGACACTCTCAAAGTGCATAATCTCCATAGACTAGCACTGATTAATGATTAATATAATTGAGATGCTCTGGAGCAGCCACTAATAAGCCTAAGGTCACCATGTCCAATGCCAAGAATGGGCTAAAGGGCTATAAAGCCCCCAGCACTGGACTGGACCGCCTGAGCTCCATCCATCAATACCTTTAGGATGAGTTGGAATGATCTAGAACTGATCATCCAACATCAGTACATGACCTCACTAATGCTTTTATGGCTGAACACAACCAAATCCTCACAGTAATCTTCCAACATCTAGCATCTAACACCTTCCCAGAAGAGTAGAAGCTGTTACTACAGCAAAGGGGGACAAACTCTCTATCATATTACACTTGATTTCAGGAGGAACGCCGGAGGACCAGGTGCCTACAAAACTTTACTGTGTTTTTAACTGACATATTATCACATAATATTGCCCTCAAGTCAGAAGACATACCATGTTGAAACTCAAAAAGCAGTAAAGTATAGTGGGTTTAACTAAACAGCTAATTAAAATATTTGTAAAAGCAATAAATACGGCCAACGCCCTGACCCGTTTAATTCTATATAATTATTATATAAGCTAACGTCTGTAAAAGACTGGTAAGTTTTGATAAAACGTCACTCTTTAATACTGTAGCTCTCAAGAATTCGTCTTAATATCACAGACAGTGAAAATAAAGCCCCATAATACTGAGAAAACATGTAATAACACAGGCGGGGGAAAAAAAAAAAAAAACTCACCTTATTGAGAGTCCTGACAGCCGCATAACGTAATGCTGCCTTTGGTGAACTGCAGAAGAGCTGGAGCACTAAGAGAAAACAAACCAGACATGTTAATGAATTTATACTTGTAACTGCAGCCGTACAGACAGCAAAAAAGTGAAACACCAACCTGACACAGCAGGGGCCAGCTCTCGGGCAGTGCAGTTGGGCATGTGGACGATGGCAGAGGCTGCTTCATACACCACCATCTCGTGCTTGTTCCTCAAACAGCTCTCAATGAAGTCAAACAGGGGGCTGTCATGACTGCAAGAGGCCACACGGACATACTTCCATTTAAAGGGGAATTCCACCAATTTTCAAAATTTTAACATCATTAAACGGTTATAAGATATAAATAAAGTGTGAAATGCGCCGTTCTAAGCTTACAGTGTCAGAATTATACAGTGGTGGTGATAGGAACCAGACATCTGAAAGGTTTAATGCCTCTTAAAACTAACTCCCAAAGTTATTATACAAAACAATTACAGTATTATTAGTTTTGAGGGAATGCTTTGGTCTAAAATATAGTTTTATATAATCCATTTTATGGCAAATAGGTACACGGAGGATGTCCTAACGCGCACTAGTCCCCCAAAAACATCTCTTTTTAAAGATTTACCACGGTTTTACCATTACTGACATTACACATAAAACATGTGCATTTTAGTGTTGGTTCACTGATCATTTTGGATAGTAAATAAAATGTGTTGTAAACACTGCAGCACTGTTTTGCAGGCAAAAAGCATATAATAAAATTCAAACAAAACGCCTTCATTTACACCAAACTGAAAGATGCTGACAACAGTGTGACAACAGTGTGCATACATACCCTCCCTCAGTCTCCTCCAGCAGCTTGCTGGCAATGCGGATCAGCATGCAGTAGGCAAACGGAGACTTGAGGCCCGACTTAGTGAACTTATTGAGCATCTTCGTCACAGCGAGACGGTCATTCTTTCGCAGGTGATACAGCAAACCCAGAGCATGGTACTGTAAATCAAAGTGGAACATAACATGGTAAAAACATGGTTAAACGGTGGAAAAAGCCTGACAGAGGAAAGATAAACAGCCAATCAGTACCGCACCAACCTGCACCATGATGTTGTCACTGGATGCTGCCTCCTGAGCTTCATTGACCCAGCGTTTCACCACGTCATAGCTCATCTTCACCATGTGCTGGAGGCAAACGAAACGTGACACTATGTTATCTGCAAATCAACACACAATCTTGCCATTCAAGCCCAAAATTAAGACGTGTTCTTACCAGAGAAGAGACCAGAGCAGAGCTGGAGACACTGGGCACCTTGTCCACTATAGCCTGCTTCATGTATCTCTCAATGGCTTGCAGCATGGTAGTCTATTGGATAACCACATACACAGTCAACACTACTGCATCAGATTCTGCAAAGGTGTTTTATTCAAAAGGAAAAACAAAAAATGTACCACATCTGTTGTAAACATGCCTACTCATATCCTACAGTGGTGCTGCAGTGGTCTCTGAAGTGAGATTTTCCTGTTTAAAGACTAAGAAAACTCCCTGATGTATCCTGAAGGTTTTCATTTTTCCATAATTTCCACTTTCCCCTCCCTCTCTCTTTCTCTCATGCTGTTTTGAGCTCTGGACAGGCTAGATGGACGTGCCCATACATTCTACAACACGCAGTACCTAAATGTACAGGTACATTAGGTAAGAGGAGAGCCCCAAACCTCATATTTATATTTTTCTAGTACAGGTTAGAACTGCGTAGGTAACTCTTTTGTTTTGCTATTATGTGAGGACCTAATTTAAAACCTAGGGTATGTTTTTTTCTTTTTGTTTTGATGGGTTCTTTCCTTTAGCGCCATCCAAGTCTAGACTCATTCGCTTCTGCAGCCTAAGTGTGTATCGTTAATACTGTACGAATTCATATTGGTGGTGGTTTTACTGTGGCCCTTATGGTATTGTACATTCACTATAGTGTGCATTGGCACAATCCAGAAACCGATTAGTGTCTTGTGCATTCCTGGATCGTTCCCCACACTTCTCATTTCAAACCATACGTTATGGACCCCACTGTCCCCTTGATGGCATGTGGGGTCATAACAGTGGTGAATGTGGAAGGAAGCCAGGAACCCAGTTCTGCAGGGAGCACCGTAGGACAACAAGCTAACTTCTGTCCTTTTTGTGCTGAATAAAAATAGAATCGCTGCTTTCTTTATGATTTTGTTTGACAACTGAGGTAAGGGTTAAATTAATGCTTGGCAGTCGTCATAAACCTATAGATCAGTGGCTTGGCTAGAAGTCAAGATCGGTTGACACCATAGGGATTCCCAAAGCATGCATGATGTATTTGCATAATGCACTGTGTATTTGCATGAAATCTGTCAAAATGATAAAGCTGAGGAATACAATGCCTCTATAGAATACAGCACAACATGATGAATAACACAAGCTCTAGTTTTGAGCCAAAACAGCCCTTTAAATCAGGTAATGTGTGAATAATGCATGAATAAATAAGGAAATAATCCACTGCACTCACATCAGTGATCCTGCAGAGAGCTCTGATGGCGGGACCTCTGTACACATCCTCTTTGCCAGTCATGTCTTTGGTCAGACTAACAGACACAGACAAGACTAATTAGTGATCACAATAAATCAAGAAAAAAAAATAATGCAAGCTGAAAAAATGAGATGAAGGAAACTGCAAACCAACCCTACAGCACTGAATGCACATTACATAACACTAGATAAGAGACCCACCTGCTGGTGACGATGATGACATCCTCAGAGATGTTGGCCATCTCCTTGATGGTCAGGTAGCACATCCTTCTCAGGGTTTGCTAACAGGGCAGAGAGGTCGAGACAAAAAAAATAAGGTTTTATGAAACAATCACAAAGATGATATATAAAAATTCTGAAAACTGCAAAGATAAATAAGAGATGTTTACATCATTAGACTGGAAGAGCCTGGTCATGGCGAAGAAGGCCTCAGTGGCCTCTGTGGTTCCAAAGTGCTCACCCTGGAGAGAAAACAACATTCAGAGCATGTACACGAAGAGCCGAAGAACTTGAACGTATCGGTGCGGAACATTACTGACCTGGTTGAGCAAGTAGATGATTTTTGTCAGGATGTGCAGACATCGTCGAGGGTTAATTGGGGTCTCGTTGAAGATGCGAGCCTTGAAGGAAAACACGCAATTCAATCAAATGACTGCAATGGCTGTGTTTACATGCAATGATTTTTGCCGATTCAACTGAATACATTCCGATTATAGATCAAGACTGAGGTGTTTGTTCTCACTCTACTGAACAATCTGACGAAAATCTCCGTTCACATGCTCACTACAAGTAATCCGATCCAAAATGACACTCACGCGTAGCGAACCGCTTAGTGTAGACGTTACCATGACACCGAGCATCACGTGAGTCCAGTCAGAGTGAGACGAGCAGCAGTGAGCAGTGCTTGTGTTTTTAATTGCTTTAAAATGATGTCAGACTCTGGAAAACGTCCTTCACATGTCCTTATTAAAGAAGGCCGAGAGGAAGACGTCGTGTTCTGAGACACATAAGCTGGACGTCCGTCCCACCGCCATCTTTTAAAGATCAGAGCATAAACTTCGTCTCCTCTGCAGACCAGTTTCTGCTCCGCCATGTTGAACGGTATAAACTTTCACTATGATGCGACGAACATGATCAGAACGGACTTAAACTTTCTGATAGGGAATGTAATCAGATACAGGCGTTTACATGGATATTATTCTTCTGTTTAATGGATTATTTACAGGATTACCCACCTCGTTCAATCAGACAGAAACTGTATTCCTAATGGCCTCAATCTGACTAGTCTATTCCGACTGAGGTGTTTATATGGACGTATTCTATTCTGATTGAGCTGTAAATCGGATTATTAACAGATTATCCGGCTGCATGTAAACGTGGCTAATGTTTTTCTGACAGCAGTGCTCAGTGCATGACTCACCTCTTGCAGCACGGCGCTCTTCTCCAGATGCTGAAATGGGTTGGAGCCGCTTCCTATAAACAAGTATATGATTATGAGTAGAGTTACAGATCCCCACCCCTCACATAACATTCTCACTACTGATTCTTATGCAAAACTCAAAAAGTCTTTAAGTCTCTAATCAGCTTGATAACTAATGCGCACACACAATTTCTCATATCCAAGTTAAGTCTACTCTATATTTTTCCAGTATCGCCCCAAGGAGGATGGTGTGCATCGTGCCTCATTCAAAAACCAGTGCTGCTTTCAAGTCGTCCTCGGAAGTTCCTACTTATAACTTCGGAGGTCTTAAGTACGACTTGATTTGTGTTCAAGAGCTTTTGGTTGGAAATAAGACAGATACACCGGAAATAATGTTTTTGGTTTACTTTTATTTTTCTGCCATTAAAGAGAGTCAGTGTACTTTGCATTATTGCAACAAAGTGAGGAGCAGAGGATATTTATGAGAAACGTTTTTATGCAGTTAAATTTACCACATAACACCCGTATATCTGTATTTCCATGTGTGGATGCTTTCAGCCTGCAGTTTTAAGGTTGTGGCTGATGAGTAACTGAAATGCAGCCAGTTTATCAGCAGCTATTAGGGCTTTTTTTGTTGATGCCCCCAACTTGTAAACTCAGGGCTCATTAAAATTTCAGAGTTTCCCACCAGACATTTCCGACAGGACTTGAAGGCAGCATAAAACACTCCTTTTAACTTCAGTCTGAATGAGCAGGGCTAAACTGCTGCAGGCTGAATGGGCAGATATATGCAAATGCACTGATTTTTGTGACATCACAAAAATAACGAGCTGCTTTTGCAGCTTAGTTTCCACTTATGAAATGTGAAGATTCACATTTTAAACCCTAAAAACTTTAAATATGCACTACATCAAACTCTTATTTCTGAAAAGTGAGGGAAACTCTGTTTTTCATAACGTGCACCTTTCAGATACCTACTTTAAATGTGCCTGTAATGTTGAAATTTTACCATTTTTCACTTTAATCTCCGACTCCTGGTTTTCAGCGTTTGTTTTTGGGCTCTATCACATTACAGAAACTATGAATGGGTGTTTTTCATACATTTTAAATCTAATTGCGGTAAACTAACCAACCCTGAATACACCCCAATACTGCAGCCTTACATCAGGTGCTGAATATATAACCACAAACAGAAGCGAGCAAGTGATCTACACAAGCAGTTCTTCCTAAAGCTCTATGATGATCAGATGTAGGTACACTCTTTAAAAAGATGGTCCATTAGTAAAGGCAATGGTTCTATTTGGAACCATGAGTTCTATATAAAACCATTTCATGCATAAATTGTTCTCTGCAAGGTGAAATGGTTCTTCAGACTGACGGAAAATGTGTTGTATATGGATCCACATAGAACATTTTTGAGAATTGTTCTATGTAGCACCAAAAACTTATAAGCTTGACATCGTCACAATAGAACCCTTTAAGATGCTATATAGAGCCATTTTCAAAAATGTTCTATATACACTCTTAAAAATGATGGCTCTTCAAGCGTTCTTTAGCAAAAAAAAAAAAAATGGTTTAACCATGAATACTAGTAAAAACAAAAATGTTCTATTTAGAACCATGAACATTTAAAGAACCCATTGCATGATAAAAGTGTTCTTTGCAATGTTAAATGGTTCTTCAGACTGATGGAGAATGTGCCACAGATGGTTCTACATAGCACCTTTTTGAAATGGGTTCTACTTGTTATGATGTCAAGCCTGTACCAACAGAAGAACCTTTTTGGTACTATATAGAACCCTTTTCAAACACTTTCTATATAGAACCATATAAAACACACTCTCCATCAATCAGAAAAACCCTTTAGTGATGCAGAGAACACATTCATCATGCACAGGGCTCTTTGAGTGTCCATGGTTCTATATAGAACCATTTTCTTTCCTAAAGAACCATATTTAAGTGCGCAGAACAATATTCAATTCACTCTCCATCAATCAGAAAAACCCTTTAGTAATGCAGAGAACACATTAATCATGCACAGGGTTCTCTGAGTGTCCATGGTTCCACATAGAACCATTTTCTTTCCTAAAGAACCATATTTAAGTGCGCAGAACAATATTCAATACACTCTCCATCAATCAGAGAAACCTTTTAGTAATGCAGAGAACACATTCATCATGCATAGGATTATTTGACTGGTCATGGTTCCCTATAGAACCATTTTCTTTACTAAAGAACCCTTGAAAAAGCCATACTTAAGAGTGCAGAACAATATACAACACATTCTCAATCAATCTGAAGAACCATTTCACCATGCTTAGAACCATTTAAGCCTGAAATGCTTCTATATAGATCTCACAGTTCTGAACAGAACCACTGCCTTTACTAAAGAACCCTTGAAGGACCATCTTTTAAAGTATGTGAGTAGGAAGCTGACAGACCTGACACATCATCCAACTACGTGGCTGCCTTAGATCTTAATCCATTAGCTAGAACAACTCCAACATGACCAAAAACATCACTCACAGCGTGTATAAACGGGTAAAATTAGTTCTAACGTTAACAGCACAACATCCACCCCGTAATCACAGATAAGTTAGTTAAGTTTATGAATAAATACAGTCAGAAGTTTCGCTGATGCCAACGCTGATCTCAGCTAACCAGCTGACCAAACACAGACTCGGAGAAGATGCAAACACACACATTATATAATCTTTAAATCGTGGGTTTATTTTAATACAGGAGGACAATATATTTAGTTAAACGTCTCATTTGAAACAGAAGTTTTGAGCAGCTGTGGCTGCAAAAAAAGGCTCGTTAGCTTAGCCTGCTAAGCTAATTTAGCTAACCCAATCAAACTCGCACAATAACTTGACTAACCGGCCGAATAACGGCATTACCGACGTTATTAAAAACATAGCACGGACTGAAATAAACTCTTACCGGCCTCCTCGTCCTTCTTGTCGAACTTCTTTATCATTTTAAGCGATGTTTTCCGCCGATAGTGTGAGGATTCAGTCCCTCCGCTCAGACGCCCGGAGATCCTCCACGTCAGCTACTGCGGCGAAACCCTTGACACTGTGGACTGTAAGCGAAAAAATGGCACCCTCCATGACCGGAGTTCAAAATAAAAGTTTGGACGAGAAAACGTTTCCTTTTATACGAGTTCCCTTTCTATACGAATAACGTAATGTTACTAACTATACTAACTATCGACTACTAAAAAATAATGAGAGAGAGGGCGAAAGAGGACTAATCAGAACATGGCGCTATTTCGTTTCATCGTTGACTCTTTTATTTTGAAGTTCTATTAGAAAACGGTTATCAAGTGCACACTCAACTGTTCAATCACTGTTTTCAATAAAATAAGTACGGTCCCGCTGGTGACATCCTGTATAAATAAAAATAATGCGTGGCCACGACTTAGTAAAGCATGGGAACGAGAACCTAATGCGTGGCCACGACTTAATCATCTCATTCCCACGCCTTACTAAGTCGTGGCCACACATTATTTTTATTTATTCAGGATGTCACCAGCGGGGCTCCGTAAATAAGTGTGAAAATGTTGCGGATAAATATAAAGCAAGTATTTTCTGATTTGTATAAATACTCTCTACTACTTCAAAGATTTCAGCTTATTATTATGAAGCTGTAAAAATGATTATTCAAAATATATTTAGTTTATTTTTTGGCCACTCATTTTCACATTATGTTATGTCCTTGACTAAAGAACCCTTAAAAAAAGTTATGAGTGTGCCATCTGAAGATGATTTGAAACACACAGGAGCACGAGCAGAAACGAAATGTGAAAATAAGAGGCCTAAAAATGAACTAACTACGTTTTGAATAACACTTTTACAGCTTCATAATAATCTTTGAAGCTGTAGAGAGCAGTTGTAAAAATTATTATTCAAAATATATTCAGTTTGTTTTTAGGCCCCTTGTTTTAACATATAGATTCTGCTTGTGCTCCTGTGTTAGGTCCTTGACTAAAGAACCCTTAAAAAAGTTATGAGTGTGCCATCTGAAGATGATTTAAAACAAACAGGACCACACAGCCCTCCAGATGCTTAACAATTACAGTTATATAGTATATATGGAATTTTTAGGAAGTTTAGGAAAACCTTTATGTGTTTTGAGTCATTCTGGGGGAAACAAGGTGCTGTTATGTACTGCATACATCAGGGCAAACACTGTATACTTGGTCTTGGACAAGGAATTGCTAATCAGGAACACGGTGTGATTAAGTTTAGGGAAAGACAGTCTGGAAGGCCTGTCCTTCTTATCAGTGCAGTGGCTGCTGTGGGGAAGATCATTTTATATCATTTTATATGAATGCGTTCAATAAATGCCCAGGGTTGTGCTGTTTATCTGCTGAAACTATGATTTTAATTTCACAAAAGGGCTAAAAAGAGACACATCCACTTTACTGTGGAGTGTTCAAATTAGCTGTATGATGCAATATAGTATATATAATATGTATCCTCAGTTATCATGATATATAGTCAGGCAGGCAGCTGATTCTGATTGACTGCAGATGTTACACATCAGTACAAATTGCACGACCACATGCTGACCGCTCTGCATTCCGTTGGTGGGCTCATGTTCCACTTGATGAGAGCTGATTGGCTGGATGAGGCCATTATTGAATGTAATGTAAGATAATGTAATTTAATACATTGGGAATTTAACAAATTATTTAATTATAAAATATACTGTTCATATGAATAATATTAAGGTAATTTTCCCCAGATTGAGACATTTTCAGCACTAGGCACATAACAATGTGCTGGACATTACGTGTGAAAAAGATCAGCAGTAATACTTTTATTTTGATTTTTTTAAAATGTTTTTGTAAGCAGATTTTTTCCATATTCATAATTCATGTTGTTGTAGTGATTTTCTGGTTTCTGGTCACAGATTATTATATATATATATATATAATTTCATGGTTCCATACACACACACACACATATATATATATATATATATATATATATATATATATATATATATATATATAATTTCTATGACATAAAATTATCTATATAATGTATATAATATCTAGTATACGTAAGGTTTAATAAATGTGTTATAAATAGCTTAATCACTATCTAATAGTCTGTAAATGAAAGTTAACAGATAATATAATTGTAATGTGCATAAGTGCTACTATTTCAATTTTACAAATGCACTGTTTTTCAGAAATGTGTTATATATTTAAGTGCAAAAGTTTGACGGTTTGTTGATTTTCTAAGTGAAAATAAGTGAACACATCCTCTACAGGGAACACCCTTCAATACGGCATTTTCTGCACATTTAAGTGCACAATTTCTATTTATTTGCTAAATTTATGATAAAATATAAAATGTGCCATGACTTTTGCACAGGTCACATTTTATGTTCTATTTTTTCCAATTTATAAAATAAATTCAGCAAATAATCAGTAATTGTGCATTAAAATGTGCAGAAGTGTGTTCTCTGTAGAGGACGTGCCTTATTTTCACTTCAACAACATGAAATTTGACCATGGGCTCCCAAACCGTTGCAAATGAATGTAAATGCTTAATATTTGAAGTTATGTTATGTGAGTTATAAGTATTAAATGACTAAATCACTATTAACAAACTATAATTAATGATTAGGCTTCTACCAATCAAAATAATAACCAATTATTCATACATCACTAAGTAAATCATTCACATGGTACCATTTATTAATGCATAGCACCGTTGTCGGAACAGAACCTCATATCTCCATTTTCGTCATTTTTTGGTTTTTGACATAATTTGAAAATACCTGTTGTTCTTTACATTGTCTGTACATTTCATGACGAATGGCCCAAAAGAAACAGCCTAAAATTACTTGGAAAAACGTCTGGTTCCATTGACTTACATTAAATGTAAAGCAGGTTTTTTCCTTCTCCTGTAAAGTCACCATTTTGGAGATACAAGGTTTTCTTCCGACAGCAGAGACATGTAACTAGTATTCAGTTATTAACAAACTATTAGATGACGATTAAGCTGATGTTCATTCGGGCCTCTTATTATAAAGTGTTACTGAATTAATGAATTCGATAATCTACTAGTGCACAGGGAATATTGTCATAAAAGGCCGTTGTGGAGTGAAGTGCGCATGTCTTAGAAACATCTCCAAGCTCTTAGCATAGTTAGCCAACCTACTGAGTTTGTGACCAAGCAGGTGAGGAGTGACCTCTGGGAGCAATGGGATGTGGAGGCTCCAGCGTGTGCAGCTCCCTCGTTTACCCCTCCCATGCCGCATTCATGTGTCATCACCACTGGAGGCTGATTGCTGGTCCCGAGCCCCTCAATACCAAACAATGCCTTTTGCCTTCAACTCCACCCAACATTTATTTCCCACCACAATGATATTCATCTAAGCTTTCTCGTGCTTTTGTGCGCTGGTCAACATGAGCTACTGTAACATCACTGTGAACTCAATATTTCATCAATATATCACCTTTTTTCCAGTAGAAATACATTCCTTAGATTTATACATCACTAAACCGGCTTAAATAAATGATCCACAAAGACTAGTGGGAATTTCCTTTAAAGTCAAAATCAGTGACACCTGCTCTGCGTTATTGCTAATTTGAGAGGCGACTTGATGACATTTATTAGACAGTGAGTGAGAAAAGTCTGGAGGCGCTGTGCTGTCCTCTCTAGCCGATCTGTGCCATTAAGCGTGCGTTGTGGGCAGCCTGGGCGCGCAGGCTCTTGCCTTTGGCAATGTCAAACAGTATGTTCATAAGGCTGGTGGGCACGTCCAATGAAAGGGTCATTCTGCTGCCCCGGTCACCTTTGGCCCCGTTCCGGTACATCTTACTCCTCCTGAGCATGCTCTGGCTCAAAAACCTGTAGCCAGACCCAGGAGAAGTCCTCCTCTCTCGGCTCTCCTCAAGAGAAAGGGAGTCTCCAGCCCTGTGGAGGAGCTGCAGGGTGTCGTAGAGCGAGTTTAGCGGTGGCTCCTCATTGTTCGCTGTGGGGAGGAGCTCGTCAGGGCAGAGGAGGCCGGGGTCAGTTTGGGGTGGCCGCAAGCAGAGGCTGGAGAGCGGAGCGCAGAGGACAGCTAGCACCAGAAGGGATCTGGCCAGCACCATGACTCTCTACTGCTGGACAACAAACAGACATGGAGTAACACACCAGTGACAATTTCCAGGGTTGAATTAGAACATACAGTCCACCTAAAAACCTCCAGTTCACCTCAAACACCTACAGTCTAACATCTACATCCCTAACATGTACAATCCACCTACAACACCTACAGTCCATGGAAAACATCTACAGTTAGTCTAAAACACCTACAGCCCATCTCCAACTCTTATAGTCCACCTAAAAACGTACAGTCCGTCTTAAACACCTACAACCCACCTCTAACACCTACAGTCCATCTCTAACTCCTACAGTCTCTCTAATTTTTACAGTCCACCTTAAGAAAACCCTACAGTCCATCTAGAACACCTACAGTCCATATCTAATACTTACATTTCATCTCTAACACTTATACTCCATGTCTAACTACTACAGTACCTATAAAACACCTCCAGTCTATGCCTAATACATACAGCCCTCTAACACCTACAGTCCTCTAATACCTACAGCCCTCTAATACCTACAGTCGTCTAATACCTACAGCCCTCTAATACCTACAGTCCTGTAATACCTATAGCCCTCTAATACCTACAGACCTTCACTAATACCTACAGCCCTCTAATACCTACAGTCCATCACTAATACCTACAGTCCTGTAATACCTACAGCCCTCTAATACCTACAGACCATCACTAATACCTACAGTCCTCTAATACCTACAGACTCTCTAATACCTACAGACCATCACTAATACCCACAGTCCTCTAATACCAATAACCCACTAATACCTACAGACCATCACTAATACCTACAGTCCTCTAATACCAATAACCCACTAATACCTACAGACCATCACTAATAACTACAGTCCTCTAATACCTACAGACTCTCTAATACCTACAGACCATCTCTAATATCTACAGACCATCACTAATACCTACAGCCCTCTAATACCTAC